ATGTTTGTTAACAAGTTTTATATACGCAAGAATTTTTTTTTGAAAAATTAATAGCCAGCAGCCCCAGCCGCTTGTAGCAGACAGTCGTTTTTTTGGTTTTTTTGATTTTTTTTCACTTAAACCGACACAAAAAATTTATTTTTCAATGAATTTTTGATTTTCTTTTTGGAAAATCTTCTAGGAATGTTTATTAACAAGTTTTATATACGCAAGAATTTTTTTTTGAAAAATTAATAGCCAGCAGCCCCAGCCGCTTGTAGCAGACAGTCGTTTTTTTGGTTTTTTTTCACTAAAACCGACTCAAAAAATTTATTTTTCAATGAATTTTTGATTTTCTTGTTGGTAAATCTTCTGGTAATGTTTATTAACAAGTTTTATATACGCAAGAATTTTTTTTTGAAAAATTAATAGTCAGCAGCCCCAGCCGCTTGTAGCAGACAGTCGTTTTTTTTGGTTATTTTTTCACTAAAACCGACTCAAAAAATTTATTTTTCAATGAATTTTTGATTTTCTTTTTGGAAAATCTTCTAGGAATGTTTATTAACAAGTTTTATATACGCAAGAATTTTTTTGGGAAAAATTAATAGCCAGCAGCCCCAGCCGCTTGTAGCAGACAGTCGTTTTTTTGGTTTTTTTGATTTTTTTTCACTTAAACCGACACAAAAAATTTATTTTTCAATGAATTTTTGATTTTCTTTTTGGAAAATCTTCTAGGAATGTTTATTAACAAGTTTTATATACGCAAGAATTTTTTTGGGAAAAATTAATAGCCAGCAGCCCCAGCCGCTTGTAGCAGACAGTCGTTTTTTTGATTTTTTTTCACTTAAACCGACTCAAAAAATTTATTTTTCAATGAATTTTTGATTTTCTTTTTGGAAAATCTTCTAGGAATGTTTGTTAACAAGTTTTATATACGCAAGAATTTTTTTTTGAAAAATTAATAGCCAGCAGCCCCAGCCGCTTGTAGCAGACAGTCGTTTTTTTGGTTTTTTTTCACTAAAACCGACTCAAAAAATTTATTTTTCAATGAATTTTTGATTTTCTTGTTGGTAAATCTTCTGGTAATGTTTATTAACAAGTTTTATATACGCAAGAATTTTTTTTTGAAAAATTAATAGTCAGCAGCCCCAGCCGCTTGTAGCAGACAGTCGTTTTTTTTGGTTATTTTTTCACTAAAACCGACTCAAAAAATTTATTTTTCAATGAATTTTTGATTTTCTTTTTGGAAAATCTTCTAGGAATGTTTATTAACAAGTTTTATAATTGCAAGAATTTTTTTGGGAAAAATTAATAGCCAGCAGCCCCAGCCGCTTGTAGCAGACAGTCGTTTTTTTGGTTTTTTTTTCACTAAAACCGACTCAAAAAATTTATTTTTCAATGAATTTTTGATTTTCTTTTTGGAAAATCTTCTAGGAATGTTTATTAACAAGTTTTATATACGCAAGAATTTTTTTTTGAAAAATTAATAGCCAGCAGCCCCAGCCGCTTGTAGCAGACAGTCGTTTTTTTGATTTTTTTTCACTTAAACCGACTCAAAAAATTTATTTTTCAATGAATTTTTGATTTTCTTTTTGGAAAATCTTCTAGGAATGTTTATTAACAAGTTTTATATACGCAAGAATTTTTTTGGGAAAAATTAATAGCCAGCAGCCCCGGCCGCTTGTAGCAGACAGTCGTTTTTTTGGTTTTTTTTTCACTAAAACCGACTCAAAAAATTTATTTTTCAATGAATTTTTGATTTTCTTGTTGGAAAATCTTCTAGGAATGTTTATTAACAAGTTTTATACTTGCAAGAATTTTTTTGGGAAAAATTAATAGCCAGCAGCCCCAGCCGCTTGTAGCAGACAGTCGTTTTTTTTGTTTTTTTTGATTTTTTTTCACTTAAATCGACTCAAAAAATTTATTTTTCAATGAATTTTTGATTTTCTTTTTGGAAAATCTTCTAGGAATGTTTATTAACAAGTTTTATATACGCAAGAATTTTTTTTTGAAAAATTAATAGCCAGCAGCCCCAGCCGCTTGTAGCAGACAGTCGTTTTTTTGGTTTTTTTTCACTAAAACCGACTCAAAAAATTTATTTTTCAATGAATTTTTGATTTTCTTTTTGGAAAATCTTCTAGGAATGTTTATTAACAAGTTTTATATACGCAAGAATTGTTTTGGGAAAAATTAATAGCCAGCAGCCCCAGCCGCTTGTAGCAGACAGTCGTTTTTTTGGTTTTTTTGATTTTTTTTCACTTAAACCGACACAAAAAATTTATTTTTCAATGAATTTTTGATTTTTTTTTTGGAAAATCTTCTAGGAATGTTTATTAACAAGTTTTATATACGCAAGAATTTTTTTGGGAAAAATTAATAGCCAGCAGCCCCAGCCGCTTGTAGCAGACAGTCGTTTTTTTGGTTTTTTTGATTTTTTTTCACTTAAACCGACACAAAAAATTTATTTTTCAATGAATTTTTGATTTTCTTTTTGGAAAATCTTCTAGGAATGTTTATTAACAAGTTTTATATACGCAAGAATTTTTTTTTGAAAAATTAATAGCCAGCAGCCCCAGCCGCTTGTAGCAGACAGTCGTTTTTTTGATTTTTTTTCACTTAAACCGACTCAAAAAATTTATTTTTCAATGAATTTTTGATTTTCTTTTTGGAAAATCTTCTAGGAATGTTTATTAACAAGTTTTATATACGCAAGAATTTTTTTTTGAAAAATTAATAGCCAGCAGCCCCAGCCGCTTGTAGCAGACAGTCGTTTTTTTGGTTTTTTTTCACTAAAACCGACTCAAAAAATTTATTTTTCAATGAATTTTTGATTTTCTTTTTGGAAAATCTTCTAGGAATGTTTATTAACAAGTTTTATATACGCAAGAATTTTTTTGGGAAAAATTAATAGCCAGCAGCCCCAGCCGCTTGTAGCAGACAGTCGTTTTTTTGGTTTTTTTGATTTTTTTTCACTTAAACCGACACAAAAAATTTATTTTTCAATGAATTTTTGATTTTCTTTTTGGAAAATCTTCTAGGAATGTTTATTAACAAGTTTTATATACGCAAGAATTTTTTTGGGAAAAATTAATAGTCAGCAGCCACAGCCGCTTGTAGCAGACAATATTTTTTCATTAATTATTATTGTTTGATTATGTAAGTGTAAATTGTTTGTTAATTAATCATATTTTATAATTAATAATCATATTATATTAATCATATTATTATATTTATGTTCATGTAGTATCATAATGTAATGTGTGAATCATTAGAACTGTTTTTATTTTTATTTATACGTTGCTGCCCGATTTGCTAGTGGTGGCGTTTAGTGTAGTGTCGACGCCTATGGTTTTGTCTGCTGTCTGCCGGCTGGCGGCTCGCTAGTTTCACCGCGCTAAAAAGATATAAAATATATATTTTAAGTGGGAATTACCGCAGCAGTAAAAGATTTCAAGTTAGTAAACAAACACCCCTAACCTCAAAATTTATATTTTATCACGAATTCAGAGAATCTATCAATGCAATTGAATCAAATATATAACAAAATTAATTATCAACACACATTTTAATTTTATTATATGTCAACAAGCGTTTTCCGTGTTTAAAGTATGAATAAAATTGATAAAAGTGGAAACAAATTTTCTTCCCCGTAAGAATAACATTGTGTCGTCTGTTTGTTGTCTCTCCAGACCTCTGACGTCATATCTTGAACTCGAAATATCTCGATGAACTGACACAGCCTAATATGCACAAAAAATTCAGTTACTACCCAACTCTGCTTTCGTGCAACAATACAGACGTTGAGTTGTAATTTCCCAGTTCTGATTATTTACGCACTGTCGTCAGCTGTCAGTTATATTAGTCAAAGATATTTTTATTAATAGACAATAATTATAGGAAAAATATTTCCACATGCAATTACTTATTTATAAAAAATTTGTGGATTTAATAAGTTAAGTGTAAAATTACTAATATTTTTATTAAAATTAGACAGTTTACTCAAATATGACATCCATTTTTCTAGTAATATTTTAGTAACATTTTTATCCATCACAAATTTATCCTTTAACCCTGTATCCTAAGGCTGCAGTCCCATGGCAGCGTTTTGCGTTGCGTTTTGTCACTAGACCATGAGTGTAAAAGAGATGCAGATATATGTTTGCTATGTTTACACTCAGGGTCTAGTGACAAAACGCAACGCAAAACGCTGCCATGGGACTGCAGCCTAACGACTTTTATCCTCTATCTTTACAACTTTTTACCCACCTTTTTTCTGTGAAAGCAGAGGTCGCTCATTTCCCGACGGTAGTCTACTTGTATGTACCTTTATAAAGGTTCTATACTGCCATAAGATCTTTGATTATGTTATATAAGTAAATAAATAATTAGTATATATGCTTACCATTAACAATTATAACAATTAACAGAATTATTTTCAAATACTTCATGTTTTTTTAATTTTTTTCAGAAACAATATAAACGAACTTGGAAACATGTAACATTGGTTATATTATATGAGAATAGTGAAAACCTCATATATAGGTGTTAGCTGATAACACTATATAAATTTTTCATTTTTTATTGTATATTTCTTCATAAAACTATAGTTAAATTTGTTTTAATTATCTAAAAAAAATTTTATACATAATATGTTATCACCTTCGTACGTGTATAAGTTATAAATTTCAACGACTCTTTGCATATATACTTGGTTTTCTTTTGATCCAATATTTCTATCATCTTTGTGTCTGAAATTACGAAGTTGACAAACATAAAAACATCACGTGCTTTCACGAATCATATATTATTCTTTATATACGCTGCGTTTTTAAGTTCTCTGACATAACTGTCCATATTATGATTATTATTATTAATAAACTGTTTTATTTTTCATTCGACAAATTTTTCTTTTAAAAATTGTTTATCGCGAAACGTTGAAAAAAATTTTTTAGACAAAAAAATTATAATAAATTGAACAGAAAGATATTTTATTTTTAAATCTAAAAAAAAGGAGACACACATTATAGCTCAAAAAGTTTTTATTTCTCAACCGTGATTTTAATAATTTTTAAAGGAAAAAAAATTCATAAAGTACACAATAAAAAAAATTTTTAGGCACACTTTAAATTTAATTCATACTTTTCAATTAAATTTTCACGTTGGATTTGAAGTTGAGGAGCACAATCAGTTACATTCCTATTTGAAAAACACGCCAGTTTGACTTTGAGAAAGCTGTAAATAAAATAATTGATTGTAATATAAATAACTCATCGGTAATTCTGAATAGCTAGCTATTAAGAATATTATAATATGGTTCAAAAATAATTATAAGTAGGGGAGGATGGGGCATGAATAGTTAGGTAAGACGTTTTTGAATCTAGCGACCAAACCTGAATTTGTATCTGCAAACAAGTAGTATTTTTGGAAAGCCTGGTTATTTGGCTAAAATTTTGCTATACAGTATTTTGCTGTAGACTGCAATCCCTACGAGATACGAATGAAAATGTAAAAAAAAATTATAGTTAAAAAAATCCGAATGCTAAAAATGTCATAGAAAATCAGTAAATTTTCGTTTTCTTTATTTTATTGGATTTAGACTATTCAATATTGATATATCAAGTATTAACAACATGTTTTGAACATTTTCTCAATATCAATTATTGCATTAAAATTCGTCTGAACTAGAATCTGAGGTTTAACCAATTTTCTTCAGATGATCACCAATTTCTTGGTCAATAAGCTTAGTTTTCCGTATATAATTACGCACCATTATGTATATCATCCTAAAAAGAACAATTAAACCTTTTTTTTATAATTTGCAGTCGCATTAGCAGGATTTTATCGAGCCGTAATAGCTCTAACTATCCTTGCCCCATAAGCCAATATTTCAGTTGTTTTCTAAATTTTAAGGAACGACGTGAATTAATTTGAAAATAAATACGATATTCGTGTTCAGCAGGAAATTCCACTCTGGAAAACACTTACGTAAATATATATTCGGAAGCACTAATATAGAAAACAATATGATAAACACTACGTTGACATTTTAGCAAAACAGACTTTTTACAAAAATAAACTCCTGATTTCGCAAATGGTGGCAGATTGACTTCCAATTTTTACTATCATCTATTGGTGTTAAGACGCAAATATACCATGAATGACGCAATTTTTGAGAAAGCCGTCTAAGCATAACAGCAACTAACTATCCTTGCCCCATCCTCCCCCTCTCTTAATTTGAATCAGTGAAATTTTACTGGTGAAATAGCTAGAAGTCGGTTACTGAATCATTTAGTGAAATTTTCACTGAAAATCACTCATATATCACTGATTTCCAGTGAAAATTTCACTAAATGAATCAGTCAATCTGTATTATCGGTAATAGGTAAAACAGATTGACTGATTCATTTAGTAACCGACTTCTATCTATTTCACCAGTGAAATTTCACTGATTCAAATTAAGAGAGCCTATACCTATTTTTTTATAGAGCTCTATACAAAAAATAGGTATATTTATTATTATTTTTGAACCATATTATAATAACTTATTCTATTGTCAAAATATAATAAAGTATGATATATAAAATTCATTTGCAAGATGACTGAATAAAATGATTATTGAACTGAAGAATAGTAGACATACATATTTAACGCGTGTGATACAGTGAAAAAAAAATTTATTTGATTCACATAATCGGTTACTTGACTATTATCAAATAAATATTTATTTGTATCATATAATTATTATTTGTATCATATATTATTATTTGAGTCAATTAAATCGTATTCGGTTTAAATACAGAAATTATTGCTTTAAAATACAGTTTATTTAATTCAAATAAAAATTATTTGGTTCAAGTAAATATTTATTTGATAATAGTCAAGTAACCGATTATTTGAATCAAATAAATTTTTTTTCAGTGTTTATAGTCTAGAAAAATTATATAGAAAAAATGTTTAATTGATACAAAATCATTATTTATAATCTTACGAGTCTCTTCAAAATTTTTCTAGATTATATTATGAGTTCAACATATATTGTAAAGAAAATCAGTCGTATATTTTATAAATTAATAAATAATATAATACTTACTTGCACTCTTCATGTGTATGAGTCATTGCCAATGTCGAGAAGAGTTTGTTAAATTTGGGTCTAAAGGTTATAAAATTTTTAAGCAAACATGGATGGGCTAAAGTATCTGTTTTAAAACAATTCTCATTTTTCTTCTTAAAATTGGCTAAAAAAAATTGATATTTTAATATAATGTGACATATATTTATGTATGTGACGTGCTCTGAAGAAAGGAACCCAAGCAGCATCTTTGTGTATTCTTACCCCAATTTTATGAACATTAACCTTTTATAATCTATTGCTTGTTAGGTCCCTTTCTTCAGAGCGTGTCACACATAATGCAAAATATGTTAATTTATTTATACATAAAAATCAAATATCCTAAAATTCGCTATACATTTGGGTTTTTCAAATTAATAAACACATAATAGATATGTTGTTCTTCTCTCTATTAAAAAAAATACGTATAAAAATCATTTTATGCAATTACCAAATTCATAGTGAATGCATAATTTTGTCGTAATCTCTCTATAAATTGATTCCAATTCAGTTTCGTTTGGCTGTTCATCACTATCCAAACAAGGCAATATTTCATTAACTAAATCTTTAATCTTTTTTTGATGATTAAAATCTGTACAATTTCCTGTAAAATTGTTACGAAGATTATTTGATATATCACGTGCTTCAGTTAGCATATGACCCTTCAATTTGCAAAACAATTTCAATTCAGTATAAGTTATGTTATGAAATTCTTCTTTCTCGGCGGTTGCATACGAAATATAGCCTGCAATTAATATAAGAGCAATTTATATTATTATACATATTATACATTAGAATATCGAATATAATTATTTCTTATATAAGTATAAAAATTTATTGGTGTGGTTTTCATCTTAATATTATATATTATAATTTTTCAAAATAAATTGTATATACTTACCAATAACAATACCAACTAATAAAAGAATAGCTTTCAAATACTTCATGTTTTTCAAATATTTGTTTTTCAGAATCAATATTGACAAATTTGTAAACGCGTATAATATTATAGTTACAACAAAAATGATGAAAACTTTATGAATTTCCTTGTATTTATATGTTCAAAGACAAGAATAATTAATTTTTAAATTTTATCATATGTCTGTGTAAACTATATAGTTAAATTCGTTTTATTTAAGTATCTAAATAAAAATTAAGCATATATAATGAGTAAGAATTTCTGAAATGTTCCACCCAAAAGCAAATAAATTTCTATTTAACTGAACTTTTATAAAGCAGATTTTCTAATACAACGAATTTTTAAATAATACAATTTCCAATTAACAAAATTTATGTCTAGCATAATTTTCATAAAAAATAATTTTTATTTACCAGAATTGTTCTCTTATCGAAATTTAATAGAATTTATATATAACAAAATTCTTATTTAACAAAACTTTTATTAATGAAAGTTTCTGTTGGACCTAATTTTCATTTAACTGAATTGTCATTTAACAAAAATTCTATTTATCTTAATATTTAAATGAGAATATTCTTATTTCACCGAAATTAAATTTGACCGAACTTTCACTTGTCCGAATTATTAATTTATAGATAGGGCGTTGTCCGCAGTGGCGAGACAGCCTGTGTGGCGAGACATTAGGATATTTCAGACAGCTGAACTGACTGTGCTTGCACTTCTGGCCTGAAAGACAAGTTTTATTGTGCTTTAACTTTTCAATATGATGCATACGTTTTTGATGTACGAAATATCGCTATACTGTTAATAACAGTTTCAAGATATTTTAAAAGTTTTATTTCCCATCGGTATAAGTGATAATATATAAAAATTTCCGGAATTTTCTGAAAGGTTAAATATTTTGAGTCTTTAGTATTTAAGTTTCCTTCAAAATTTCCAGAGCACTATGAATTATTGTTCGATGCATAGGATTGTACATCGTCATTACCGAAAAATGCTGTTTCCGCATTGGCGAGACACTTGTTGTCGGCAGTGCTTTTTATATCTAATAATATTGTACATGTCCTAATGAATTTGATATAATTTTTGTACGTTTTGTCGACAATATTTTTCATAACTATAGTTTAAATTGAAAAAAGATGAACAGGAAGAAAAGCTTATTTGTTTTTAATAACTGTGACATGGATTAGCGGCTCACAATCAGAAAAATATTTGCCTGTATTTTTATGATTGAATGAAACAATATTATGATTTAAAGGCATCAATTATTATACTCTTTCTCTTTGATTCCTTTGTTTTTTGTTACGTTTGAACGATGAAGACTCTGATTTTAAGATAGTGTCTCGCCACTACGGACGATTTTTTATGTCGGTAGTCGCGAGACATTATCGTAAATCGGCAATAACTTTTTTTTCCAATATCTGTTCTGTAACTGTATAAGTTAAATTTGCAGTATAGAGTCACACCTGTCCATGGATATATATACAGACTTGATGTTCTTGAAAATGTGAGTGCTATAACAAAAAAACAAAACGTGTCTCGCCACTACCGACTCTCCCTTATGTTAAAACATTGAATTTCCATTTGATAGAACTTTCACATATCAAATCATACACGCGGCTGAAACATTTTAGCGAGTTTTTTTTAAACTACCGCTGCGCTGATATGTTTTGTTCAAGTGTTTGATGGGATATGTAAAATGGAAATTGGACATTTTAATAGTTCTATCAATTATACTTCGGACAATTGTTCCATCAAATAGAGTTTTGTGACAATTCTAGTAAATAAAAATAATTATTAATATAATATTAAATTATTTATTAACAATTAAAGTTATATAAGATACTTTTAAAACAAAATTAATTTCAGAAAAATTTGTAGAATTTATATTTAACTAAACTTTTATAAAGCAGATTTTCCATTACAAACGAATTTTCAAATAATACAATTTCCATTTAACAAAATTTTTACATACCTGAAAATACTAAGAATATTTTGAAAAAAGTTTTATAGTGGGCCTAATATTTCTATTTATTTAAATCATTTGTTTAAATTGAAAAAAAAAATTTTCGTTTTATTTTATTTTTCAAAATAAAATGGGATGCATGATTATGTTCTAAAAATCATTATAGTTAGAATTTTCATTTTATGATATTTTATTTGTCATAATTATTTTTGATCAGAATTTTTATTTGTTCGAATTATTATTTTGATATAATTTCCATATAACCAATTTTCAATACTACAGAATTTTTACTTAACCGAAAAATCATTTAAGAGAATTTCTTTGATAGAATTTTAACTTGTCCGAAATTGCAAATGGCCGAACAAACAATCGACAGAAAGATTTTGGCGCGATTTTTAAAATCAACCAATCATAATTTTATGAATAATTTTTGATTGGTTTATTTTAAAAATCGCACCAAAATCTTTCTGTCGATTTGTAAGTTCAAGTTGGGTGGGAGAAATCCAAAATGGCGATTAAGTGGAGCACAAACAAACATTACAAATGTGTGGGATAAAGTTGAATTTTTTTAATATCTCGCTTAAAAGAAAATTTTGGAACCTAAGTATGTATTAGGATTTTAGTTTCTATTTTTAACCCTCACTTTCTAAGGTGGGCTCTCACTTTGAGATACGTCTATACACGTACTTACAAAAAAAAATTAAAAAAAAAAAAAAAAAAAAAAATAGATATATATGACCCTGACGTTATTTAAGATATTTTGAACGCTAAATCCGAATTTAAAGTCTAAAATGAAAATTTCAAAAACCCAGTTCCAATATATATTTTCTGAAAAGTGACTTATTTTGAAATGCGCTTGAAACTCTCAGTCTCGCATTATTATAAAAAAGAAATAATTTGAAAAAAATTAATTCGAAGAAATTTCATGACAATTATAAAATTTTATTTACACTATTTTAATTGCATTAAATTAATTTTTATTATAGTAAAAAAAAATTTTAATGAGTCACATTTAAAGTTAATTAAAATCAAATTGCGCCAATTTTGTCACGTGGTCGCGCAAAAATCAGGCGTGCGTCTCTTCTATCTTTGTCACTCTTATTGTATTTGAAATGATGGGGATAAATTTTTTTTGAAAATGTATATTTTCGATTATTATATTGCAATATTATGTTTATATAAATTCTAATTAAAAAAATAAATATTTTTTTGTATATTTAATGCTAAATATTATAATATTTAATCTAAAATTACAAATTAGATAATCAAGAGTGAGAGAGAAAACAAGAGACGCGTTTCTACCCTCTCAGTTCCGCATTTTTACATCCCCGCCATTGGCTTTAACGTGATTGGTGCAAAAAAAAGAAAAAAATATCCTCGCGCGTCTAAATTTCGTATAATCACGTGGTTGAAAATTCACTTTTGTGCTTCATCAATTTCATGGCGTGGGATCATTTCTCTGGCGTTGGTCATTGACAGTGGTTCAAAATCGCAAGTTATCATCGGGCGTTTCGATTTTTAGTGACTACGTGTTTGTGAAAATTAAATTAACATTTTTAATTCTTTAAAATCAGTGTTTTAGCTTTCGGGAGTGTTTCGTATTTTTTTAAACCCGTGATTGAGTAATATTTAGGGGTTGAATTTTTTGACGTTACGTCTTACTCCTCGATGGTTCATGGTGTTACGTATACTTCAAAGACAAGGGCGAAATTAAAAAAGGGTATCTTATCTTTGAAGAACACATAATTCTCCAAACTTTTTAGAACTCGGTCTATTTTTACGGTTATTTTTCACATTTTTTGAATGGAAATTTAACTTGAAAGTAGGGATCTCCGAGGGCTATTTAGTTTGGAAGAATCGCCTTGAAGCTATCATTAAAATTTTTAATTCTTTCGAGTCAATGTTAGCTTCCGGGAATGTTCGCAATTTCTTTAAACCCGAGATCGAGTTATTTAGGAAGTAATTTTATTTTCGTCAACTTTTATTTAAAATACAATAATTTTTTAATTTTGGGAGTGTTCGCAATATTTAAAACCGCGATCGTATTAAATGAAAGTTTTTTTTTAAGTTAACACGTGGTCCGGGAGTTTGCGAAATTCCTAAAACCGCGTGTGAGTGATTTTTTTTTGCCAATTTGGAAACCACCGTTCGAGTGCCACTCCGGGATGGAGATCGGGCATCGGCGAAGGGTGTCCACGGTAAGAGTTTTTTTTATTCTATAATTATAATAATTGAAAAAACATGGTTGTATGAAAAATTGTAATTTTGAAATGTATCTTTTTCAGACTGAAGGACAGGAAGGTGGATGCAGAGAAAGCATGGCCCCTGCATAGTTCCGTCGAGGTGAATCCGCAATCAGCAAATGAATTTTATTTTAAACGTATAGCGACACACCCTGAAATGATTAACTTCTAAAATTCTAATTTAGAAATTAATTACCACAAATGGCAAGCATTATTTTAAATGTATGAAATTTTAATGTCTACATTTAAAATTTTGTAAATTGTTATTTATTTCAGGATTATATCATTTCTTATAATGTTCCCCCTTTTTAATAATTCTCAATACATTTTTAAACTTAAAAATTAAAATATAATACTCTTAAAAATTTTTCTATAAAAAATTTCTTAATAATCTGAAATATTTTTTAAAATTAATATTAATAAATTTAAAATTTAATCAGGAGAAAAAAATTCGAAAAATTCAAATCTGTTATTGAAAATTCAAATTTTATACTGAAAATTCAAATTTTATACTGAAAATTCAAATCTGTTATTGAAATTTCAAATTTTTTTATTCAAAATTCAAATATGTTATTGAAAATTCAAATCTGTTATTGAAAATCCAAGTTCAGTTACTTGAAATTGTCAAGTAATAGCTAAAGGATACCCTTACAAATTAGTTATCCTAGTAATAGATGATACCTGGATCCATCAACTACCTAAACTTATTTGTGTTTAGTGAGTCTCATTAGTTTAGTGTGAGTTCTTTTTGCGTAAGCATCTTCTCAGGATAATACTGTTCGGGAGTGAAGTTTATTTTTAAACCTAATATTTGAAGCCCTTAAATAAGAAGAAGTTTTATCAACAAATATTGCAAAGGTAAGTTTTTTTGTATTGTATTTTGTAAAAATGTTTGACTTCTACTAGATAATATGAAAATTTAGAATAGTTAATAATATTTAATTAATTAAACTATGTAATTTGTTTAGTACATTTTAACCAAATTATTTCTATTCTGCTTTCGTTTATTTTTGTTAACTCCTTCACATAAGTGTATTGATATATAAATGGGCGTCCTTTTTCAATAACTCCTTTAAAGCGTCACTTAGATTTCCTTACTATATATATTTAATTTTTCATTACAATTATCATAAAAAAATATAAAATTTAGGATTATAATAAATTTTTTAAAAATAGTAATGATTTATTAGGCTCAATAGCAGGAATTGATAATAGCTTTACATACAAGTTGTTGAATTTTCATGATATATTTCTAACAGTGTACAGGTATAGGCAGGGAATTTTTTGTGTATGTTTGATTGTAGTTGTAGTAATTTCGCATATATCTTTCTTAAAGTGTCGCTATCTTCTAATTATTCCATAAGACATGTAGTTCATTTACATTTATTTGGAAAAATTAACTTAAATTTTTACAAATAAAAGTATAAATAAACTAGAAATTTTTTTGTACTTGTTTACTAACTTTTCTTTCAGCAAATCATCGTGGTAAGAAAAATATTTATTTATATTCTAAAATTTTGTAATATTTTTTGTGTAAATTGTGCCCATTTTAAATATGTATAAATATGTGTTTTTAAAATTTTTTTCTTTTCTTTTTTGACAGTGTTTATAATCAGAGAACAAATATACGAATTTCTATTTAAATTCGTGATTATTTAAATATAAGAAAAAAAATTTACTTGGAACAGCGAAAAGTTTCATTGGAATAACGAAAGTTTTAATTGTTTCAATTAAATCTTTCACTATTCTAATAAAATCTTTTGCTATTCCAGATGAAACTTTTTTTTCTGTGCAAGAATAAATTTCAGAAAATTTTGATTATTTATTTTTTGAGTTTCTTAAAAAATTTACGGGTTTACGCGAAGGTAGAGATACAGCTAAAAGACTGGTCACAAAAATGCCTAATTTATGTGGGTCAAAAATTTAAGGATATAAAAAAATTATAATAAATATTTTGTACTTTTTTTAAGTTATTAAAAAAATCTATTTTTACGCGAAGGTCGTGATACAGCTAAACGATTGGTCACAAAAATGCCTTAGTACGTGGGTCAAATATTTCCGGACTATACAATAAAATTCTTCCTAATAAAAATTCTTTAAAATGCCTATTATTTTCTATGAGTAAAATTGAAGATTTTACGTGCGCACATCAATTTCCAGTTGTCGAAAATAAATAAATTATTAATTAATTAAAAACTACTTAATTACTAATTAATTAATTATTTATGTTGTGGAAGTTGTTGTGGAACCACCCCGTGGATTCGTCCTCATGGATCTGGCACGTGCGCCCATGTCGGGGGCCCTGACGTCTCCGGGGCAAGGTCGTGGCTTTTTACACACGGGAATACATTAATTTAATATATTTTTTGTTATTTAATATTTTTAATATTTATTTCTTTATTTAATTTATAACTATAAGCAAACACATATGACTTTTTTAAGTGACAAATATTTCAATTTGTTAAAGATAAAGAATATTTTATTTCTAAGATCCACAATATTTTGTTGTATTTGATTATCACATTTGTAAAAATAAATTAAAAAATATATAATTTATTTTTATATAAATATATAAATGCGCAAATATTATAATGTATAAAAAATGTTAGTAAGTTACTTTTTTAAAACATTTATGAAATTTATCTTTATAAAAGTATTATTTAATATTTAACAAAAAATATTAAACAATAGTTAATTTTTTTAAGTAATATAAAATTGTTTTTCTTTTTTTTTATTGTAAAGAATTTATTCAGCTGTAACTTTTTTATTGGACACATTTTCGAAAAATCACTAGTTTAAAAGTTGTACTGGAAAAACTGAAAAATACCGGATTTTGACTAAAATTTTTGGAATTTAATACACGACTAATTTGATTGAACTAGTTTGTTAATAGTATTCAAAGTTGTACACAAACATTTTAAAATTTAAATGAAAACAAATATAAAATAAACTGAGTCTAAGGGAATTTAAAAATGTTTGTAAATAAGAAAAAGTTGACATCATTTGTTTCATTAATTTTTTTTTATTCTGTGCGATTCCAAATGAGATTTTGACTTTTTCGGAGTAGGTTAACCGATTGCAATGAAACTTTGGAATTTTGTTATATATAGTAAGACTAATCTTTAACGTAAATTTCAGCCTAAAATATTTGTTAGTTTACGAGATTTGCAATAATAACAAAAAATTTAAAACTGCTATATCTTCCGTTCTAATAAACGGATTGAGGTCTACTTTTTTTTAAAATGTCAAGGAAAATGAGAGGAATAAATCTCTTTCAGAACATTTTTTTATAATTTTACAACTAAAAAAATTATTAAATAATAATTGAATAACTTTCGCGCGACTAACTAAAATTCAATCACTTAAACGCTAAAATGATCTTACCTGTGTTTTCTTTAATGTTCCAAAGGATTTTTATTGTAAATGTAAGTTTAACTTAAGAAATTTTATTAATTTATTAGTATAAACAATTGAGATTTCTGCTAGTTGACGTGCAGACGACATTGCGCACGCAGCATTCTCACATAGCCAACTGACGTGATTCGTGGACTAAATTGGCTATGTGAGAATGCTGCGTGCGCAATGTCGTCTGCACGTCAACTAGCAGAAATCTCAATTGTTTATACTAATAAATTAATAAAATTTCTTAAGTTAAACTTACATTTACAATAAAAATCCTTTGGAACATTAAAGAAAACACAGGTAAGATCATTTTAGCGTTTAAGTGATTGAATTTTAGTTAGTCGCGCGAAAGTTATTCAATTATTATTTAATAATTTTTTTAGTTGTAAAATTATAAAAAAATGTTCTGAAAGAGATTTATTCCTCTCATTTTCCTTGACATTTTAAAAAAAAGTAGACCTCAATCCGTTTATTAGAACGGAAGATATAGCAGTTTTAAATTTTTTGTTATTATTGCAAATCTCGTAAACTAACAAATATTTTAGGTTGAAATTTACGTTAAAGATTAGTCTTACTATATATAACAAAATTCCAAAGTTTCATTGCAATCGGTTAACCTACTCCGAAAAAGTCAAAATCTCACTTGGAATCGCACTTCTGTAAAAATATTCTCAGAAAAAAATCAAAAATGAGATATCTAATTTATCTTTAAACTGATACATTTATTGTAATTATTAGCATTTTATTACACTCACTAAAAATAAGTATATATCTAAAAATCGAAAATTCATAATGGTAATAAAAATATTTTTTCCAAAATGGAAGAAAATATTTCAAAATTTGTTCTTTAAAATATAAAATAAACTTAAAGCAATCAGTCTCGATAATATGATTTTACTTGTAAATATTAATAATTATTATTAATGTATACCTCTTGACACTTAAATTATTCGGGTAACAAAAATTTTTTTTGTCAATGATACTTAATATTAATTTTTCAGACATATACAAAGTAGTGTTTTATTTATTTATTTTTCTGTTTTAGAAAAAAAAATTACCTTATACTTTCAATAAAATTGTAAGTACATTAAATTAATTGTAAATCTATATTGTTCTTATATTTAGAAAAATAAAATCGAAAAGTAAATCAATGAAAATAAACGATTTTCACTTTTGCTTTTCAATACTTATATTTCTTTACTCTTTTTTTTGTTGTTCATTGTTTATTAAATTCAATAAAAATGTTTATTTAACGATGAAGAGATAAAACTCACACGTTCGTTTGGTAAAAATTGAAAATTTAATAAATCCAAAAAATATATATATTTTTTCGATTTATTAAATTTTCAATATCGTATATATATACGATCGCGTTTAGATTTACATAATAAAATTTAATTTGAATGTAAATTTACCTTTATTTACTACTCCCCTGACAGTATTTGTCAAAAAGAAAATTTTATTTTAAAAAAACATTTTATTATTAATTTATAATTCTGTTAGAAACAAAATATTTACCGTAAAAATCAATTAATTAATTAATAATAAGAATATTAATTATCACATTCGAAAAAAATGCGTCGAATTTTTGAAAAACTTGTCTATTTAAAAATTGAATTTATTATTTATCAATTTTTTAATTTATTTTCTTTTTTTTTTGCAAATACTGTCACGAGAGATCTGACTTTAAAGGTTTTTTTTAGTTTTATTTACAAGATTAAAAAAAAAAAAATTTGTTAAATTTACTTCTTTCTTAGGACTAGTGTGTTCTTAATGCGGAAATAAAACAAAAAATAATTATGCCTGTACCTGATATATAAATATATTCGTTCTATACTTTTCTCTATGAAAGTACGACAATCAAGTCAGTATTCTATTTAAAGAAGCTGACAATAAGTGTAAAAATGCAGTATCATTATTATTTCGTTAAGGACACGAAAATTCTTAGAAAAATCCAATGAGGAAGCAAGTCAGTTCCATCTCTTTCTCATCCATTTTGCGAAAGATCGTTTGTTTGTAAAAAATGGTAAAAACATTCAATTATTTCTTATAAACTATCCTAGTGAATGAGAGAGCTTATCATTCTGAAATAGAAATAAAATTTTTATTAATGTTTTTCATTTACTGTTATAAATCAAATTTTGCTAGTTAATGCTGAACAGAATTAGAAACTGTAAGAGGTATTTTTTTTAAAAACCATATTAAGGTGAAAAAAATTTGTTTAATTCAAATAATTGATTATTTGGTTAAGCTTACCCATATAAATAATAGAAGAAAGACATTAGATAAAAGGCTAATTTAACCCATCCTTCACGTTGGCACTTTGTTAAGCTGGTTGCGTCTAAAATATTCGTAGGATCATAGAGACCTGGTCTTGACATAACAGGTCTATTACGATACCTATTAATGTGATACGCAATCAATGGAACATTTAAAAGTAATGATATCCATTCATTACTGATTAGAAATAAAAAATTAATAAATAAATGTAATCCATATTCCGGAAGAACTAACTGAAATATAAATTTGTTCAAAATACCATTAATAGAAACGCATGAATATTCCTCCACATTAGACCTATCGGAATTTTTGTCGTGTCGAATTCAAAATTATCGAACTTTTATTTAACAGAATTGCAGACTTCACATTGTTTCCTCTATTTTTCCTCTATTTTAAAAAATTCCCCTTTTTTCACTAATTTTCCCTATTTTTTTTTTTTTTTTTTTGAAACACGAATAATGGGATATTTCATAAAAATCCAAATTTGAATCAAAAAGTTACCAAGCTTTGGATTACACGAATTTTTCGACTTTTTTTTAATGAATGCGACTATTTCGACTTATTTTTATAAAATGGGACTTTTTCGACTTTTTTGAACAAAATATATTTTCATCAAAATTTTTTGAAAATTTTATTATTTAAAATACTTTTTCAATGCAAATTTTTCTAAAATTCAGTTATTGTCTGAATCTTATAAAAAAAATATTCAGCAATTAAAATAAAAAATTAATTTTTTTCAATAATATTTTAAGGGGATTTTCTGGTTTAGAATTGACAAAAAAGTACACGTTTTAAAACTTTTATTGTAAGAAAAGTATTGAATAAATTGCAAAAATTCTTTTTGGACATTATTGTTGCACATTACATAGAGAAAATTAAAAAAAATATTTTTAAGTGTATTTAGTTCAATTTCTTAGCTGTAGGTGGCGTCTTCTAAAAGGTGCCTTTTTTTGGTACAGGTAATTGCGGACAACCTGTAATATATAATTTCAAATTTCAAACGCGAATCTCTTCATAAGGGTTTATTCTAGACAATAAACCTAAAAAACGATTTTTTAAAAGATTCTTTTTTTTTATTTTTTATGAACATTTTTCTTAAAAATTCGAAAAAATACCGTGTTTTTGGGGCAATTTACCCCCTTATAAAAAAAACAGGGGGTAGAAAAATGAAGTTTCAAATATTTATTGTCTAGAATAAACCCTTATGAAGAGATTCGCGTTTAAAATTTGAAATTATATATTACACGTTGTCCGCAATCACCTGTAGCAAAAAAAGGCACCTTTTAGAAGATGCCAGTTACAGCTAAGAAATTGAACTAAATTACACTTAAAAATATTTTTTTTATTTTTTCTCTATGTAATGTGCAATAATGTCCAAAAAGAATTTTTACAAATTAATTAATACTTTTCTTACAACAAATATTTTAAAACGTGTACTTTTTTTGTCAATTCTAAACTAGAAAGTTCCCTAAATCAATTTCTTTGAAAATTTAATTATTTAAAATATTTGCCAAAATTCTGAATTCGAATAATTTTTACAATGACTTGGAATTTTTTTCTTCCTATTAATAAAAAATTACTTGCATTTTTCAAAAAAAAAATAAAAAAAAAATTAGTTTAGAAGTAATTTTTATTCTGTGGAAAATTAATTTTAAAATAAGTTTAAATAATAAAAAGCGTTTATTCATTAGATGTATGCAATTCACATTTTTATAAAACATTGAAAATGACATTTAAAAAAAAAATTAATTACTATACTGGAAAAATCTCTCCTTTAAATCTCACTTTTCTCTATAAATTTATCATCTATTAAAAAATTTGGAAAAAAAATTTTTCGTTTCTATACTTTCTATGTTTTAAGATGTTTTTTATTCATCAAGAAAATTTTTAAAACAACTTTAAAGCATTTTGGTTAAGAAAAATATACATTTAGATTTTACCCTATTTTTCTCCTTTTTTCAAATAAAATTTCCCCTATTTCCCTTTTTTTTTAGCAAAGTTTATGCTGTACAGCCTGGAATTGTCAATTAACAGAAATTGTACTAACCATAAGCTGAATTTTTAATTTCTATTTCACCAAAACTCCATTTGATTTTTCGGTCAAATAAATTCACTTGTCCGAATTGTCATTTTACAGAACAATTCTGTTAGTTAAAAACTATTTTTTAAGAAAAATTTGGGTAAGTCCACGTCAGAAATATCAGAATCTGCAAGTGGTTCTTCGATTTTAATGATACTTGGTAAAATTATAGCTTTAAATAAGAGCAATGTGTAAGTAAAAGGAATTTTTAAAATATCTAAAATTGTAGGAGTTATATTACTTTTAATTTTGATACTGCATTTTTTTCTTTCCTTTATATCTCCGTCAATTTTCAACCGATTTTGATGAATCAAAAACGATTTTTTTCAGAAAATTACGTATTTTCAGAAAATTTTAAAATAAAAATAAAATTTTCTTATTTAAATAGAAAAAAGTAAAAAACAAAATTTCTTTTAGATTTTTTTCAATTTCGACCTCTTTTTTTTAAATTTTAATTTTTTAATAATATTCCTTTTTATTTTATCTTTAATTAAAAAAAAAATTCATCCTGGAGACTTTTTTAGATCTCGTGATATCGTTCTTTAAATATCCACATCTCAAGAAAACTAGGATCCAGATTTGTGTTTCTACTTTCATTTGTTTTATAATATTATTGTTACAAACTAGAAACTTTCGCGTAATAATGTTTTTAATTTTAAATTACTTGACTAAAACAAGTGAAAATTCCAGCAAATCAATATTTTATTAATAGATTTGAAGCAAAGTTTTTATTTTTTGTAATATTTATAATTTAAAATAAATTGTAATGAAACCTTAACAATGCAACCTGAAATTGTAACTGAAGTTTTTAGCGCTTTCTTTTAGAGGATTCTAAAACAAATAGTTATTCATAACCATAAAAAAATTTCATCAAACAAATGAAAGTAATGATAGAAGCAAGTCCTGCGGTTTTCAAATTGATGAAGACTTATAATGCTTAAAGGACGATATCACGAGATCTAAAAAAGTCTCCAGGATGAATTTTTTTTTAAATTAAAGATAAAATAAAAAGGAATATTATTAAAAAATTAAAATTTAAAAAAAAGAGGTCGAAATTGAAAAAAAATCTAAAAGAAATTTTGTTTTTTACTTTTTTCTATTTAAATAAGAAAATTTTATTTTTATTTTAAAATTTTCTGAAAATACGTAATTTTCTGAAAAAAATCGTTTTTGATTCATCAAAATCAGTTGAAAATTGACCGAGATATAAAGGAAAGAAAAAAATGCAGTATCAAAATTAAAAGTGATATAACTCCTACAATTTTAGATATTTTAAAAATTCCTTTTACTTACACATTGCTCTTATATAAAGCTATAATTTTACCAAGTATCATTAAAATCGAAGAACCACTTGCAGATTCTGATATTTCTGACGTGGACTTACCCTTTTGTTAAATGGAAATTGTATTATTTGAAAATTCGTTGTATTAGAAAATCTGCTTTAAACTGAACTTTTAAAGTTCAGTTAAATAGAATTTCTATTAAATTACAATTTAGTTAAATAGAAATTTTTCGATATGTAATTTTGATTCATTTTAAAATCCACTTTATAAAATTCTGGTAAATAAATATTCGATAATTTTTAATTTGACAGTACAAAAATTTAATTACTTAATTAGATGTAGAATTTTTTTTTTTAGAAACATAAACAAAAAAAATTAATTTTGCATTAAAAAAATTTTTAAAATAGTTTTAGTATTTGTAAAAAAAAGAAAAATTCAAAACAAATACTCACCGGATTCAGACTGTTACATTGTTCTATTGGATCTTTGTATTCTGTTCTTAATTCATCGAAGGCGATTATCTAAAATAAAACGGTAATTAATATAAAAAATAAATAAAAATTATTTCCCACTAATTCAAAAGAAGACAAATTATTTACAATTTACTAAAATTTAAACAGAGAAAAATAATTAAATAAAATTTTATTCCTCCAAAGAACATTAATTTCTTTTTTTTTTTTTTAGAAAATATCAATTTATATAAATATGAATTTATGATCTTCAACAGAATGTAGAAGGAAAAATTGTTTTATTTGTAAACAAACAATAACAGTTAACCCCCTCAATAAAGATATATTCTCTTTACTTAACAATGATTTTTGTATTAAACGAATTTATTTTGTATATTTGTCAATGAAAATATAATGAAATGAATAATTAATAATAAAGTGCACGTGATTGTTATTTAACTTTTGTATCTTAAGAAAAATATCAAGTCATTCTTTTTAAGGTTAGGTAGACTACTATTTTATATTTGAATTGCGCTTATTTTCTAAATCAAAAATTTACTTCTTTTCATAATAATTAAATGATATGAAAAATTACAATACTCACGTGTAATATTGAAAAAAATATTAAAACTGCGTCACAAATTAATGCGACAATATATGAAAAAGCGGCTATGTTAAACACCATTTTTGAGTATGTATAGATGTGTGTGTGTGTGGGAGTATGAATTTTAAACCTTTGCGACAAACGGCATTTCCAAATTATGCACCATAAATTTCTGCTATTGCGCATGCGTCGATACTATTTCATTCATTGGTTATTTATTTCTACGTAAAAATTTAAAATAATTTTTTTTCTTTATAATTAAAAATTTTCAAGTTTAGTAACTAAAAAAACAGTAAATTAGTTACGATTGTGTAATTTTTTTAAATAGTTTTAAGTAACAAATACTAAAGATAAATTTCTTAAAAATAATAATTAACTGATAATAATTATAATTTTTAATATTGATTATTAAAAGAATTTTTAGAAAAATATTACAAAAATATTAATTTTTAAATTGCACCTTGATAAAACATATTTATTTAAAAAATAACAAAGAAATACATTAAAATAAAAATGTTAAATGAATTATATACTTAATTAACATAACACGAGTATAAAAATGTCTTCATTTATTTAATCTCACAAGAATGGAAAATAGTTTTTCCAAATATATATAATAAATATACTCTATTATAATTTGATTAATAATAATAATAATAATAATAATAATGTTGCAGTCATATAAATTTTTTTTTTATTATTTTTCTTTTATCTCAAATTATTTTTAAGCTCATTCATTAGCATCGATCCAATTACCATTTTTTCACAATTCACACAAATTTCCAATGATTCGTCATTTATAATTTTTATTGTCACCAAAACAAGTGATTTTGATGTTAGAGTGTGAGCCGCGTACCTATGAAATAAAAAATAAAATTTAGTTTAAAATAAAAAAAATTTAATTAAAATGGCTGAAATATCAAACAATTTAATTGACATTTTTAATAATAAAGAAATTAGAAAAAAAACATGGTAATTTAGCAAACAAAACAAAAATTTTACCTTATGATATTATCTTCACTCGAAACAACAGCTAAATTTGCCGCTTCAAAAATTTTTTGTGAAAGTGTTTTTCGATTTCCTGTGAAATTAACTTTCGTCAAATGTTCATTCATTCCTTTTAATTTTTCCTTTTCAGAAATAAATACACTTTCGGGCAATAAAACTGATCTTAAAATTTCTCCAATTGGCGCTTTTATATTAACTGGACACGAGAGAATTTCGTCGTTTTTCATAAAATCAATATTAAACGAAGCCGGTTGTGTGGAATCATTGAAATTAATACCAACAGTTGTCAGCGAATTGGAATTTGGTTGAATCACAGTAATTGGTGTAAAGTCATGGACAATCATTCCCGATGATAATTTCTATAAAAAAAGAAAAGTCCCCCCCAATAAAAATTATCTCAAATAAATGCCCACAAATAGAATCACACTAATTTCCTCATCAGGGAATCTGACAATAAATAAAATTATGAAAATTATAAAAATTAATTAAAAACAATAAAGAAAAATACAAAGAATCAAATTAATATGGGACGAAAATTAACAAAAATAAATTATACAATGAAACAATATAAATAAATTAAAATACATAAAGACAAATTTAAAGAATATAAAAAAAATAAAAAATAGAAAAAAATATTTAAACAAAATTTTAAAAATGAAATTGTAACAGGAAAGTAACAAAATAAATAAAAATAAAGACAAAATATAGAAAAATAATAAAACAAATTAATATAAAAAAACAATTAAAATAAAAAAATAGGTATACAAAAATAATAAAAAATAATTTACCAATTTATGCGATGGAACAAAAATTAACAGCCATTCTCACAATTGTCATTGAGAAATTATTTGCATTATTTGGTAAATTGTGTTTGATTATTTTTTTTATATTTTGTCCTTTGTAGTATTTTTTATATTTATTTTATTTATTTTGATATTTTTCTTTTAAAATTTTGTTTTTATTCTTGTTCTATTTTGTATTTTTGTTACATATTAAATTTGTCTTTATTTTAATTTATTTATATTGTTTCATTGTTAATTTATTTTTGTTAATTTTACTCCTCATATTAATTTCATTTTTTGTATTTTTGTTTTGTTGTTTTTAATTAATTTTTATAATATTATTTATTGTCAGACATTTTTGGAAGAGAAAATCAGTGTGATTTTTAAACGTTGAAAAAAATTTTATTAAAAATCAATTTGTCCGAATATTATTGTTTTGCTATTTAACAAATCTCTAATATATTCTACTCGAATGTTAAAATTTTGATAATTAAAAATTATAAGAAATTACAATTTACCGAAATAATAAATATTTAAGAATTACCTTATTTCCAATATGTATGTTGTTAATTGGATCTTTGCCATCATTTGTAAAAGTAAATTCAATACTAGCCATAACTGAACTGACTAAATGTTGCGATCTTGTAAATCGATAATCAAGTTTTAAGCCGTGACCATTGATTTTATTTAATATCTCAATTTTCTTCATTGGAATGTATGAAGCAGAAACTTCTCGTATTTCATTTGAATCATTTGGATTAATTGGTGTTAAAAATCCCCCTAAACTTGGTGTCATTACTGGTGTCATTGGTATCACTGTGGGGGTAAAAAAATCATTATTTAAAAAAAAAAATGTTTTTTCAAAATTCTTTTACTCAAAAGAAAAAAAAATTTAAACATTTTCTCTTCTCTTACCATCATCCAAATCTAATAGCAAATCGAGATTGCTCTTGGGTTTTTCTTTACTTTCAATTTTTACTGATTTCTCTTTAACCGCAGTCTTTTCTTCAATTTCACTTTCTTCTGAACTTGATTCATCCTCCTCGTCGGAATAGTCCTCTGAATCTTCACTTTCTTCACTTTCGCTACTCGATTCTTTAACGTGTTTTTTACTTTTCTTTTTATTTGCCTCGTCATCGGACTTATCGGAAATAGAGGAATATTCATTTGAATTACTTTCATCATCCGACGTATCGCCTGATGATTCTGAACTTTCGTCTTCCTCTTCTTCTTCGGATTCTAAATGAAAAATTTAAAAATATATTCTTTTGAATTTTTAGACCATTTTGAAAAATAAAAAAAATATTTATTCAATTCACCTTCATCCGGTGTACTCTCACAATAAAAGTCCTCCTTCTTTTTGTCTTTTCTCTCCTTTTTGCCAATTGGTAAAATATCTTGTGGCAGTGGTTCGGCAACATCGCGAACTGATGGATCTGGTGGCACATCAGGAAACGATGGCAATGAACGATAACCAGAGCATGGCATATCTAAATAATGTGAAAGTGTTCCCAATTGAAATTGTGATTCTTTAAATCTTGATGTGAGCGTTGGCGCTGGTTTTGTTGCTAAAAATATTTTTTGAGCCAATTCTTGAAGTTTACGTTTTGGTTTACCCTCATCCTCCTCATCGAATATGAAAAAACGAAGAAAACGTGCTCTATCTCTAATATCATAATTTTGATCATATTTTGCCAATTGAAAGACATATTGACAAAATGATTTTGTTTGATTTGGATTATTTAAATATAATTTCACAGCAAGATTTAATGTTTGTAATTTAACAATATCTTGTTCGTTGATAAATGTTTTGGCCATTTTTCTAAGAACATCGGGAGCAATTTTTGGCACACGATCAGAATATTCGCCCAATAACCATAAAATCGATGCTCTCGCCTGTGGAACTGTTATAAAATCCATTAATTTTGCCATATGAGCAATTATTTCTTTATGTTCATTTGGTTGGGTTTGTAGGAGTTTCTTTATCACAACAACACTTTCAGCTACAACAGCCTCTGAAAGGGAAATAAATTACTTTTTATTTTCTTTACTTGTTTTTTTTTTTTTTTTTTTTGGTTTTAATTAAAGAAAATTTTTACCATCTCTGTTACTGAGCAAAGAAACAAGTCCATTGAGACAAGTGTCAGTGACTCCTTTAATATTGCTTGCACATCTCCCAATTGCCTGAATGCTCGCACCAACAAATTCCTTATCACTACTTGAAATATAGGTTTGAAATTCTCTCAAAATAACGCTTATACTCATTTCGGTAGCTAAATTCGTTAAAATATCCAATTTCAATAATTTTATGTGCGTTGGATCAGATGTTCGAACAAAAAATGATTTCAAAAATGGTTCAAACATTCCCTGTGAAAAATTGGAAAAATTTTTTAATTACTTTCATCTATTTTGTATTATTACAATTTTTTTTTGTTAACCCGTTTAAGATTTTAAATAAATTATGTAAATTAAAATTAAATTATTAATCTGTTAATTAATCTTAATTCTAAATTAGAATAATCTTATTGGATTATTTTTACGCAAGGTATCCATTAAAATACATTTGGAAATAAACTTCAATGTTTTTTTAAAAAAGTTTATCACTGTTTTTTCCAAATTTTTAAATTAATTTAGATTATTAATTTAGTTTAAAAAATTTTAGTTTTTTGAATAATTATTTATCAATACAATTATTTAAAATAAATTAATTGTCTTTTTTTAGATTCAATAATCAAACATATTCATTTTAACTGTTATGCAAATTTAAATATTAAAAAATGAAATTATTTAGCAATTTTTAAATTAAAATATCATGTAAATTCAATTATTTTTAAAATTCAAATTTTGTTTATATTAAATTATTGTGTAAATTTTCATTATTTTAATTTAAAATTGTTCGAATCAATATATAATAATAAAATTAATAATAACAATTTTTTTGGGACTGAGATAAGACATAACACATCTTAACCAATATCTTCGTCAGAATTTTATCAATCTAAAATCAATTATTAAATCAATAATATAATAATTTAATTATTGATTATTTAAGATATATGAGGACTAGCGGTGTTTTAATAATTTTTCTCTTTTTTCTTGTTTCAAGTTTTAAAAATTAACTATATTATAGACTACTTGACTTTATAATATTATAAACAATTTAATTATTTTAAAATAAGGGTAAATTGATGAGGAATAATATTTATTATAAAATTTAAAAAGTCCACAATGAAGGAATGGTTTAAAAAAAATTTAGCCACTTTATAAATATCAGATAATTTATGGGAAATGGGATAATTTTTATCTAAAAATTTTTAAAACAATTGAATTTTAGAAAAACTTGATAAAAATTATTTGAAATTAATAAAATAAATTTTAAAAGTAATTGAATTTTAAGAGATTTTAAATTAAAATTATTGTAAAATTTAATTTCAGAAATTTTTTTTTTTTTACAAATTACAGACAATAATTGAATATTAAAAAAAATTTTAACTAAATAATTGAAAAATATTTTAAATAATTAAATTTTAGAAGAACGTGGTTAAAATTATTGAAAATAATTAATTTGGCGAAGAATTTTAAATAGAAATTAAAAAAAATAAATAAATTCCAGTTACAGTGAAAATTATTAGAATTAATCAAATTTCAGGAAATTTCTAATCGAAAATTTTTGAAAATTTGAATAGCTGAAAATTTTTTTAAAAAGAATTTTAGTCAATAATTCAATTTTTAAAGAATTTTTAATTGAAAAAAGTTTAAAATAATTTAATTTTCAAAAAATTTCTTTAAAACTATTGAAAATAATTAACTTTGCAAAAACTTTTTATAACTTAAATTTTCAAAACAATTGAATTTTGGAAGAGCTATAGTTATTATTATGATTTTTTGAAATAATTTTTTTTTTCACCTTGCGAGTAATCGATATACTAGCGATACAATGAAGAACGATACTTTGAACTTCACGATGACTGCGAAGTAATCTTATTAGTGCTTTTGCAGCAACAATAACTTCACTTCGAGGTGCTGCATGATGATATAACTGAGCAACGGACATAACAACAGATGCATTTCTACTTTGCAAAAGAGGCTTCGTATTTCTCAATAATAATCGATGATCAATATCTAAAGTAAATTTTGGCTTTTTTACACTTGACGAATCACTGTCGGATTCATAAAAAGAACGTTCCTCTTCATCTTCAATTTCCTGTATAAACAACAATATTTTCATAAATAAAAATTAGAAAATTAAAAAAAAATTCCAATAAAAAAAATGAACGTACGTTTAAATTTGGATTTATAAATTGAGTCCTAGCATATCTTGTCAACATATTAACAATGACAATTTGTCCCCATTCATCAACGTCAACTAATAAATTGCACAATTTTCGATAATTTTTATGAATTAAATCAATTCGTTCGGGACAAACTTCTTCAAATGCCATTACTGCTGAACCAACAACAAGTGTTGTTTTATCGGACAATAATTTCTCCAAAACACAAATTAATTCATCCTTTTGTTCAGGATCCAAGGAATATAATTTTGGAATTGCGTGCGCTGCAGTTTTACGAACGTACGGTGACATATCGCTTGCCGAATCTTTTATGGCGAGCATTACTATTGGAACAATCATTGCAACTCTTATACTTGAAAGAACACGAAGGGCACTTGCTCTTATCAATTGATTTGGATCTTTTAATGCTCTTTGAAATGTTGATATTGACAATAATGCCAAATCTTGTTGATCCTCGGCATAACGAACTAAATAGACGTATACCAATTTTTTTACTTCTATATTTTTTGATACGACATTTTTAACAACTGCTGGAAATAGATCGGAGGCATCTCTTCCTTTTGCCACCATCTAAATATTTGTTTATTTCATTATTTTCTTCGATTTATATTAAGAAAGAGACGAAGCTGAAGTACACAACATTTATGATAAACGATTTTTAAAGAAATAATTTTTAAAAATGCAAAAATTCTATAATTTTTTGCCTAAAAAAAATATGTTTTTTTTATAATTTGTTGATTAATTAAAACTACAAGAAATATTTTTTTAGGCGAAAAATTATTTCTTTAAAAATCGTTTATCATAAACGTTGCGTACTGTAGATACGTAGAGGGAGGAAATAAAAAAAATATAAAAAAAAAAGTTGGAACAGAAATGAAAGAAACTATTAATAAAATAAGTTTTATCCAACGTTTTGAAATCTAAATGATTTTATATTAAAGAGAGAAAAATAAAAAGTAATGTCACTTAAAGTTTTGGAACAAAAGGAGGAATTTTTACATTTTCTTTTTCATACAAATTTTTTGGATTATTCTATTTAATTCTTTAATTTTATACTTATGACGAATTAACTTTTTATAATTTTGTTATCTACATTTTATTTTTAATTTAGTAATATAATGTTTAATTTCATATTTTTTAATTTATTAAGTAATTTTTATCTTTCTCTCTTTGATATTTATAATAATTTTTATACATCAATAAATTTTGTGAAGAGAAAATCTTTTAGATTTCGAAACATTGGAGAAATATAAGAATCTTTAATATAAATTTACCCCAATTATTCGTTTCATTGCTTCCAATTTTAATCCATCCTTGTTACTATCAAGCATTTGCTTCAAGTCATCGTGTCTAAAAATAGAAAATTCATTTAATGAAAAATTTTTTTTTCTCTAAAGTTTTAATTTCAAAAATGCAAACATATTTTAAGTTTTTTTTTTTTGAATGCTCATACTTAAATTTCTTAAGAATGCATCAATTTAAAAATTTTTTTTTCAATTCTATATTCAATTTTCAATTCTATATATAACTTTTCAAAAATTTGAAGCAAAAAATTAACGAAAAATAATTTACTATATTTTTTGCAATGTACAGATTAAAATATTATTTTTAAAACTGTATATATATATATATATTTCAATTTTTTAACAATAAATTTTTAAAACAATTTTTTTTTATTTTTTTTAAATTTTCGAAATTTAAAATACTTGTAACATAAAAAGACTTAAATATACGAATAATGCCAAAAAAAATCGTAAGTATTTATAAAAAAAATACTAAATTTCGAAAAATTTTAAAAATTCCGAAGAAATTTAAAAAAAATTGTTTTTCTCCGACGAGACTGAACCTAAAATTTGTTCATAAAAAATTAAAAAATATAAACAGTTTTACAAATAGGATTTTAATCTTCAAATTGCAAAAAATCTAGTAAATTTTCGAAAAATTTACTTAAAAACTTTTTTTAAAAAATTTTCAAATTAATACATTTTTAAAAAAATTATGATTATTCCAAAAAAAAATATTATATAATAATAAAATGCTTGGTCTGTCCTTCTGTCCTAACTTGAAGTTGGCCTTTTCTGATTTCACGTGTTTTTTTAAATAGTAATCTTATGACGTGTCAAATTTCGACAATTCTTTTTCTCATTTTTGCCAAAGTTGTATAATTGTGTTTCCAAATTTCGGAATAAGTTTCTTTAAAATTCCAAATTCGAAAATTCAATTCACGAAGCTGAAGTACACAACGTTTACCAACGAAATTTTTTTTAAAGTTGTATATTGATTCAAAAATTGTATACAAATACAAAAAATTTATGATGTGAAAAAAGATGCGCCAGGAAATTTCGTACAAGATAGTAATTTGAAAAAAATTTATTTTTAAGGTACCAGGGGCCAACGAATACCTATTAAATATTAATTATAAAAACACAGGCCGCGAATCAACTTAAAGACACAAAAAGTCGTTTTAGTCGATTTATATTCCAAAAAAAGTGGATTTGTTTTTTATTTTAACAAAAATATTTTAAAGATATTTAAATAAAAAATTTTTTTTAATAATAATCCTTTTCGAAGGGTTAAAGTTGAAATTTTTAGAAATAATTAAATTTCAAAAGATATTGTTAATTTTCAAACAATTATTAAATTTTACAGAACTAAAAATAATTTATCAAACAATTTTTGGAAAAATTTTTTTAAATTTAATTGAATTTTCAAAGATTTCAAATTGAGATTTTTTGAATTAATTGAAACTTGTGTTTTGTAATTAAAATTTTAGATGATTTCACTAAAAATTTATTAGAAAATGCGGACAAAATACAATAATTTGAAAATCATTTTTAATTGAAAAATGGTTTCAGATAGTTCAATTTTCAAAGAATATTATTAAAATAATTAAAAATAATTGAATTTCCTTAGAGTTATAATTGAAATTATTAAATTGCAAAAAAAAAAATTTTCGATTGAAAATTTTAGAAATAATTAAATTTTAGATGCTTTTAAATTCAAATTATTGAAAATTCAATTAATTTGGAATTCAAATTTCTGAGAATAATGAAATTTTATTTGATTTTAAATTTGGAAAATAATTGAATTTCAGTTCATTTTAAATTGAAAATTTTGGGAAATAATTGAATTTTAATTGAAATTATGGACAATAATTTAATTTAAGTTCATTATTGATTGAAATTTTGGATAATTAATTTTGAATAGAAATTTTAGAAAATAATTGAATTTTATTTCATTTTAAATTGAAAACTTGGTAAATAATTAAATTTTAAATTGAAAATTTTGGATAATTATTGGATTTTTAATTAATTTTGAATTAAAATTTCGGGTAATAATTGAATTTTAGTTTATTTTGAATTGAAATTTAAAAAAAATAATTCAATTTTATTGTGATATTTTTTTTTTAAATTATAAACAATTGTTAAATTTCATAAAAATTTTAATTGAAAAATAATTTTGATATAATTGAATTTGTGATGTATTTCATTAAAATTATTAAAAATAATTAATTTAGTGAAGAATCATTTTAGTTGAAAATTTGTTAAATAATTGAATTGAAGAAGATCTGAAGAAGATCTACATTTTATACTAAAAAATGTATTTTATTTACAATTTTTTTTCAAATGTAAAAAAAATGTCGCATTTTATTAAAATAAGTCGATAAAAGTCGTATTTTTGAAAAAAGTCGGAAAAAGTCGTATAATCCGAGGCCTGTGAACATATAATTTTCATTATTATCATTTAATATGTAATAATATTCTAATAAATTAAATTTTTATTTATAATATTAATTTTTAATTTCTTTATAACAAACAATTAAATACTCAATTTGGCGCGCTTGCTCGCGTTTAATTTTGCTAGTATAGATATAAAAAGTTTGAAATTTTCTATTATTTATTTTTCGTAAGCGGCTGGATAAAAAAATTCGAAAAAAAATCCTGGAACCTTTTTTTGTAGGTTACAAAATGATGAAAAAATTTAATCGAAATCAAAAAAGTCCAACGATAAGTTGAAATGTCACAGATCCCACAAATTTAAATTAACGATCACCATTAGGACAATTTAAAAAAATCAAATTAAGCCGAAATTAATTATCATATCCTTTATTTTACAATTTTTGAAAAAATTTTAACAGAAAAATTGTAAATTTTAAATACCTAAATAAAATTAAGAGAAAATAAACTCTTTACTAGATAGAATTTGTAAATTTCAAATAAAAATTAAATATTGAATAAAATAAGAAAAATGAATGTTGAAAAAAAATATGAATTTAATCTTATTTATGCTGTAAATAACGATCTATAAAAAATTTACATAAATTATTAAATCCCGATTAAGAAAGGCGGGAATCTAACCTCAAAATCAAAACTTATAACTTAGAAAGTAAATGACATTTTTATATTATTTTATTATTAGTACTTTTTGTAATCGGAATGGAAAAAACCTCCAGATGCAGGATCAGTGCCTAATTCCGGTTCTCCAGCACTTGAAGGTCTATCAATACTGTAAGACCCTCCATTATTTGACATTGTATTCGCTGCTGCAGTTAACATTTTTTCTATATTAAAAAAAACTATACTATTTACAAATGAAATCACTTAAAACTTTTATGAAAAATTTTTCTTTCCAATGTTTATAAATTTCATGACAAAATTAACCGAACTATTCATAAACAGATGGGAATATTTTTTTTTTTATTATAAAATATATTAAATTACATTCCACATCACTCATGAATCTTCGACTATGAATTTTATATAGATAGGAAACATCGATGTTATATTCATTCAGAAAAATGTTTTCTTCTTTTTTTTTGTATATAGGTAATAATTACAATAAATTTACCAGAAATATAAATAATTATATTAAATTAATTTTTAATTGTAAATTAGTATTTAAATATAAATATTAAAATTTAATTCTAAATGTTTGATATGTGCTAGCAATGAGGGCGTATTGAGGATAATGAATTTTTCTCCACATTGCTTTCCATCTATATAATATTATTTCTGCGATTGTTGACAATTTTGTCAAAACAGTTGTGTGTGACAATTATTGTTTTTTAACAATTTCTAATATTGCTCTAAACTGCCAGTGAATTTTTTTTACTGTTATAAAATGGTAAGTTTTGTTTATTTAATTATTAAATAACAAAAATTATTGAACGTTAGTTTTTTTCTCGTTTCAACATAACGGTACTTATATTTTTATGTACTACTATCTTAAATAAGTTTCCTCTATTTTGTTGATTATTGACAATTTCCGAATACAATGTATGTAATACAAATATTGTTCGAACTAATGACAATGACAATAATAATCTTTGAATTTGATAAAATAGACTTGTATATTTAGATTAAATAAAGATTATTTATCTTTTTGTACAATTACGTTATAAAATAAATACATTTTTTTTTTGCGTATAGTCTTCCAACAAAATATGCGATATTGAAGATGATGTTAAAGATGCTCTTAAAAAATTTCGTTTTCGTAAAAGTCAAACTAATGCTGCCCTTATTCGTAAGTAATGTTTGAATTTAATATAATAATCTACTTATTGTTAAAAATTTCTCATATATATTATATTCTTTAAAATATTCAAGATTTATTTTTTTTTTTAATGTCGGAAATTTTTGCTTACAAAGTTTATTTAAAACAAATATGAAAATTTTCTAATACAAAAGTGTAATTAATATTTTTAAAAATTTATTTCAATGCTATTAACAAAAAAGCAAAAAAAATATGCAAAATAAAGCAATTTTATTTTAACATTATAAAATAATTAAAAATAATTAATTAATTATTATGAATTAATTAAAAATAAATAAAAAATATTCTTTCAGTTAAAGTCGACAGAGAAAAGCAAAAAGTTTGCATCGATGAGTTTGTAGAGGTAATTGAAATTTTAAGTTTAAAGATTTTTTTTTGAAATTTTTCTGAACAAAATTTAAACGGGCCTCGAAGCTAGAAATTTACGACTTTTTCGACTATTTTCGAATTTTTTTTTTTTTTTTTTTTATTCGACTTATTTCGACTTTTATAATGTGCAAAATGCGACTAATCGAATTTTTTTTTTAATTCGAGAAGTATTTTTTTTTATTTTAAATTTTAAACTGAAATTTAGTCTAACGAAAATGATTTTCTATAAAGTATTTTTATTATCATATAACAAACATACAGTACAATTATTATTATATATTTTTTTATGATATAGCATATTTTTGTCTTCAAAAAGAGAAAAACACAAATTATTAATATAAAAGAATAAAATTTTAATTTTTGAATAATTTTAAAAATTTTACTTTTGATTTACAACTTTTTAAACAAATTTTATAAGAGTAGATACAAATATTGCGAATTTCGAACTTAAAAATCAAGCCTCAGATTATACGACTTTTTCGACTTTTTTTTCGACTTATTTTAATAAAATGAGACTTTTTCGACTTTTTTTTTTAATTTTTAAACAAAATACGTTAATTATTTTTATTAAATTTAATGTAATTCTTCACAAATTCAATTATCTTAAACTATTTTTCAATTCAAATTTTTATAAAATTTATTAATTGTTTATAATTTAAAAAAAAATAGCAAATAAAATTACCAAAATTCGAAAGTTATTCAAAATCACTTGAAATTTAATATTTGCAAAAATTTTAATTATTTTTAATGATTTTTATAATATTCTTTGATAATTCAATTATCTGAAATCATTTTTCAATTAAAAAACTTTTGGAATTTCATTTTTTTTATATGATTTCTAATAAAAATTCTTCATCATTAGAAATCAACCAAAAATTTCTCTTATAATAATTATTGTCTGAAATTTAACACAATCTTTTGAAATTCAATTATTTTCAAAAATTACAATTTAAAGGTTTTTAAAATTTAATTATTTCTAAAAATTTCAACTTTTTAATTCTTCCAAAATTATTATTTAAAAAAAATTTTATTTAAAATTCTGTAAAACTTAATTAAAATTATTGACTGAAATTTTTTTGACCAACAAAACTAAAAACTATGACAAAATTTTTAATTCAAATAAATTGCTTAAATCAGACTTGAAAAATTTTTGAAAATTTCTTTTATACAATTAATTTAATTCTGAAATATTCGAAATAAATTTTCTTGATAATATTTATATAGAATTATTCTCTCATTAAAGAATTAATAAAATTAATTTAATATCTAATGAAATGAGTTATTTAAAGTAAAATATTAACTAACCAATTAAATTTTGTCAAAATAAAAAAAATCGACTTTTTTCGACTTTTTTTGCAAATATAAATTTACTAAAACGTATTTTTTTTGTTCCTTAAAATCAATCCGAGGCATGGAAAATTCATTTTAATATATTTAACTCAACAAGAATGCATGAATTGAACTTAGAGAAATTTTATTTAATAATAATAATAATAATAATAATAATAATATATTAATAAAAATGATAATAATAAATGTGAAGTTTTCATTTATTTGACTTGAGATGATTGATAATTATGACCTTTCATTTAAATAATAATAAAATATTTATCAACTAATTAAATTTATTAAGAATTATAAATATCTACTTTAAATTTCATTCGAGGCCTGTATTTTTCATTTGACTTACACGCAGTTAAAAATGAAAACTATGACAATTTTATAAATATTATACACAAATACTCTGTACGAATGGGCTTTGCCCGTATATTTTCAATAAATAAATAAATTATAAATTAAAACAGGATATTCAAATGGAAGAGGTGCAGGATCTTATACCTGCTCATCAGCCACGGTATATTGTTTATAGTTATAAAATGGAACACGCTGATGGTCGTGTTTCATATCCAATGTGTTTCATTTTTTATACACCACGTGATATTCAAATGGAATTGCAAGTTCTTTATGCAGGAATGAAACTTGTATTGCAACGTGAAGCCGAATTGACAAAAGTATTTGAAGTACGTGAATTAGAGGAACTTACTGAAGATTGGCTTAAGGAAAAATTAAGTAGATAGAAAGAATTATATATTTCTATTCCAACATTTTAATATTCTTTTTTATATTATGTTTTTCATTTTTTTTTTTGTACAAATAGAAACATCGAGTTTTGTTTATTGACAAAAATCGAGAAAGAAAAAAATTCTCATTAGTTTTACCATATTTTTTTTTCTTTTTTTTTTGTTTAAGTCTTATTAAAATTAAATAGCTTTAATTTTATTTATATATCTATTTTTAATATGCAATAATTTACTGTAACATGTATTTGATTATTCAAATGGAATTGATTTTTTTATTTAGATTTATAAATTTCAATTTAAAGTTAAAATTCTTTAATTAGAATAAAAAAAAAAAAAAAAATTGTTCGATTTTGATAATTTTGGAAATTTTTTTTACAAAAGTCTCAATATTGTAGAATATATATTAACATGAAAAAAAGGTTTTGCCAATATGTTTGTATTCAAAGGAATTTTAATTTTAAATACAATGAAGATGAAAAGAAAATTTACAATATACTGATTATCAAAAAATACTATAATATGCAATGCTGAATATATTAGTATAATTATCGCAGCTAACGCAATTTTTAATATATTTTACGAAGCTGAAGTACGCAACGTTTATGATAAACAATGTTTAAAGAAATAATTTTTTAAAATGAAAAATTCTATAATTTTTTACCTAAACAATATTTCTTGTAGTTTTTATTAATCAAAAAATTATAAAAAAATATTTTTTAAGCAAAAAAATTGTAGAATTTTTCATTTTAAAGAATTATTTCTTTAAAAATCGTTTATCATAAACGTTGCGTACTTCAGTTTCGTTATATTTTCTCAATTAATATAGATGTACTCTCTTTATAATAAAAGAAACATATTGCAAAATATTAAAAAAGACTTAAAATTGATTGTTTAAAAAAAAATATATATATATATACAGTCGAACCTTGGTAACTGAGACTTGCCTAACTGAGAAACCTCTATAAGTGAGAAAGAATTTTCGGTCCCTTGGGTTCTCAGTTATCGAGGTTCGACTGTACATATATATATATAACAATTTATTGCATTTTTATATCGTATACAGTATTCCTTAAATGTTAAGTAGCTATGCTTTTTCGATATTTTTTATTCTAAATGAAAGTACATATATATCAAGTAAAAATTTATCTGTGATTATATATAACACAGTGTTATGATAAATGTTCTAAAAAATTATATAATATATAATATATGAAAATTTTAAAAAGTCAAATTATAAAACGCTTCTAGATTATGTGAATTAAAAAAAAAATTATCTGCGATATTTCAAAAAGATTTTTCAATTTAAAAAATCGTCCACTGTCATTATGTTTAGATAATTAAGAAAAATTACATTACTCATATATATATATATATATATATATAAATAATTTATATAAATATTTTTCTTGATTTATCTCCATTTATATTATGTGTTTAATCAAATATGTTTACAATTTAAGAAATTAAAAATAATTTTTTTACATTTATATATCATAATTATTATTAAAAAAAAAGAAAAGAAAAGCGAAAAACAAATATTATAATATGCATATTTATTGATGAAACTTTCGTACAACTAGTCAGTAATAGTGCAAATAAAGACAAAGGAATTATTTAGAGAATTCAAAAAATAATTAAATTTAGTATTTGTTAATTATAATTTTTGAATGGCAATAAAAATTTGTATTTTTTTGCTATATATATATTCGTTGTTTTTATTTCCGTTATATTGCAAATTTAATTATCAAATAAAACTAATTAAAATTGATTTCATAAAAATTTGGAAGATTTGTACTGTTTTCAATAAAAATAATTATTCAAAATTTCTTGTCAAATAATAAATTATTTAACATTTTGAATTTTTTTTTGTCCTACGCATTTATTACCATAGAAACGTATGCATTAGACAAGGACAGAAATGTAACAACTATAGCACCATTTTTCTTAGTTCATTTTTTTCAAAGCAAGTATGCCCTTCTATGTTAGAATTTTTTTCAATGGCTGTAACTATCGAGAGTTTTGCGATTCGATAAATTCGAGAGTTATATTTTTCCATGTAGAAAGGAAGATTATTGTTGTGTTTATTGTTGAAATTTTGACAGAATTATTGTTTCTTTATAGTTGAAAATCATTTGAAAATCAAGTAAAGAAATAAAAAAACTTTGTTATTAATATATACGTAATGGTGAAAATTATGTGATACAATTAAAGTCAATTTTTGTGAACATCAATAATGGCGTATTCTGTAAATGTTTCGGTGGAAGCACCGATTGAAAATTTGATTCAGGAAATAACTTACGATGGTCAAGAAATTTATCAGGCGTAAGTATTTTGTTATTTTATGAAATACATTTCATTTAGTCATTATTGTGTCTATTTTAATAATGCAAAATGTCTAATTAATTTTTAACATAACCTCAAACGTTTATCTTTCATTAAATGCATTTGCTATGTATTTTATTTAAAATATATATATTTCGTTTATTGTCAGAAATAAATTAATTGCTTTATTATTAGTAAGCAGTAATTATTATTAAAAATTGGAAAATAAAAATATTCGTTAAAAATACTTAAATATTTTAAATATCAAAATGTTATTTTTTTTTTTGCAAATTTGATAATAACAAATATAAATATGTATTAAATGTTTAACAAATTTTTTTTTAATTGTTTTTTATAAAGTTAATAAATAAAATCCGAATAACTATAACTTTTTATAGAATATATCAGAACTTACATAAAAAATTTTGAATTAAAATTTTTAAAAAAGAAAAAAAACCAATCGATAAGTTTTTAAATATTCTATTAACTGGTTATTAGTTTTAACAAAGATTTTTTAAATAAATACTTCAAAATATTGTGATTTAAACAATTTTTTAGTTTTAAAAATTTTAATAACTTTTGATAAAATATTAGTAGAATATTCGACAATATATTAAATTTTGATTTGCTTTTAAATTGAAATTTTTAAATTGTTCTAAATTTTTGCTCTACCTCGATGTAAAACGTTTCTTTAAAAAAATGAAATACTAACAATATTTGTGAAAAACAAATTTTATAACTGATTTAATTAAAAAAAAAAATACAAATACTAAAAATTAAAAATTGTGCTAAACAGTGAACTAGGAAAGATCCAAAAATTCTCTTCTAAACTTTTTTCTGTAATATTTATATTTTTCAAAATAATTAATAATTTCTGATCTAAAACCCAGGTGGGAAAAATTTTTGATCTTCAAAATTTTTGAAATTAATATTTTGATAAAGTAAATTATTTATTTATTATTATTTTGATGAATAACATTTTTCGAAAAATATTATAACATATTTTTTTTTGATAATTCGCAATTTTTAAAATCTTTCTCAATATTTCCAGTCCATTAACATTGTCAGAGAATTTGGCTAAAATCGCTCAAAAGATCGATTTTAGTAAAACCAATGGCGAAGATGTTAAAAAAGAACCATCGGAAAGTGGAAATAAAGATGAAGAAGCAAAGGATACATCTGCTCAATCATTATGGCCTTGGGATGCAGTTAGAACTAGCTTAAGGTTTATAATTTTACAAATTTATTATTTTAAATTCTAAACTGAATTTTGCAATTTTCTTTAAATAACAAAAAGATGTTGAATCAAAAACAGAATCACAATTAAGTACCCACAGCACCGAAACTTTCCTAAAGATTTATTTGAAATGTTCGGAATATTTAATTGCAAAGTTTAGTGAAAATTGTGTAAAGATTTAAGTGTCCCGATTAAATAAATTGTTTAGTGTGAAACTTTCTTCAACATTTATTCATGTGGGACATATAAATCTTTACGCAATAAAACTAAACATTGCAATTAATTATACCGAACATTTCAAATAAATCTAGGAAATCTTTAGGAAAGTTTCGGTGCTGTGGGGGTATATTATTGAAATAGAATTAAAAAAGTGAATCAATTTTCTTTTTTTTTTTTTGCTTTCACACAGAAACTCTTTGACAGAGGTATGTGTGCTTGCCGATGTTCTCTCGGTGGCAAGAGAAAAAAGGTACATGGTCCTTGATCCTGTACCTCAAGAAGCAGTGGAAGTTAAACAAATGGTTCAAGTTTATGGCCGAAAGAAAGCTCTCTCTGGTGCAGCACAAGTTCTTATTTCAGGTGCTGAGAGATTGAAAAATTGTCAAAATGAATTGGCAAGAAATCGTACAACTCCTAATTTTCATATTGAATTACTGCGACTCCGTCAAAATTGGAGACTCAAGAAAGTATCAAATTCTATTATTGGCGATTTGAGTTATCGCACTGGTGAGTTATAAAATTATTAAAATTTCGTTTAATTTTTTTTTAACATTCTCATCATATGAGAAGGTATTATAATTTTTTATTTAATAAATATAATAAATTTAAATAAATTAATTGAACTGTTAAAATATATTTTAATATAACACAATTTACATTTTTTTCAATTAAAAATTTGTGGTAATTTTTTTTTTGCCCCTTTTGAATAAAACAGCTGGATCAAAGTACACGCAAACTGGAATGTTTGAAGTAACAAAAGCAGAGGAAGAAGATGAAAATAGTGGAAGTCCACCGTCTTCTCCTAATCCAAATGCCGTTACTCCTGCGACACCATCGAGTAGTAAACCATCAGCATTACGCGTCACAATTCCCAGTGAACTTCAAGGTGTTGCGTATATCGAGGTTTTATGCCAAAAAGGTATATTTTTTTTGCAATACTTAGAAAGTAATAGGCATTCTAAAATTTGGAAATATTACAATGCTGAAGTCCACAACGTTTATGATTAGTGATTAGAAAACAAATTTGTTTATGAAATATATATATTATCACCTAGTTTATAATATTTTTGTTTTTTTTTATAGATCAAGAAGATTTATGCAGTGCAAATATTAATCTCTTGAACAGTAATACAACGAGTTCGAATGCAGATATGCATTGGCAGCAAAAATTAGAAGCTGCGCAAAATGTTTTGTTTTGCAAAGAATTGTTCAGTCAATTGGCAAGAGAAGCGGTTCATTTGCGAGCTCCTATTCCTCATATGGTCGTGGGAAATCAAATAATGGCAACGGTAATTCTTTATCTATTTATTATTATTATTATTTTTTAATTCCCAAAGTCTCCGAAAATTGTGGTTTTATTTAATTTTTCTAGAATTCGACAATATTTTATTTTTTCCCATAACTTTTTTGTGTCAAACGAGAATTAGATTAAATAAAGTTTAGAGCGAATAAAAATTAGATTAAATACAAATTATCCCAGGTCAGAATTTGCCCTTATGATTGTGAAAATCGAATTTAAAGCCAATTAAGTATTAGGCCAATTGAAATTTGGAGAAAAATTTATGCATTTTGATAAAAATATGCAAATTATGCCTTGAAAGAGCTGTCAATTTGTCTTCAATTTTTAATTCAATATTGAAATTTCTTTAAAAATTCACCTTTTGATTTTCTTTTAATTTAAAACTTGTAATGAATTGTCCTAATTTTTTGGTCTACCTTGATGTAAAAAATGAAAATTTTACCAATAATTTGTAAAAACAAATTTTATAACTGATTGATTTAAAAAATACGAACTCTAAAATTTATTTTTTCTTCACAGAAATTACCAAAAATTTCAATCAAAAATCACATAAAGTTCAATTATTTTAAAAAATCAAAATAAATTAAAAATTTTTAGAAAATTTAATTATATTTTCAAAAAGAGGTTATCTAAAATTATTTGATAAATTATTTTAATTCTGAAAAATTTAATTACTTATTGTCTGAAATTTAACAAAATCTTGTCAAATTCAATTATTTCTAAAAATTTCATCTCTAACTCTTCTAAAATTCAATTATTTTTAATAATTTTAATATTTCTCTAAAAATTAAATTATTTAAAAAAGTTTCAAATAAAAATTCTAAAATTAAATTGTTGTCAGAAATTAAAAAAAATACTACAACAGTTTATAATTTTCAGAAAAATTTATTTGAAATTTAAAATCTTCTGCAATTCAATTATTTAAAATAAATTTAAGTTTAAAATCTATAAAACTTAATTATTGTTTGAAATTTTTTTGACCTTCAAAACTAAAAAGTATGCCAAAATTTTTGAATTCGATTAAATTGCTTACATCAGACTTCAAAAAATTTTTAAAAATAGAACTTCAAGAATTTGTCCTACTTAATTAAATTTTGAAAAATTGTCTTACTTTGATTTTGAAATATTGGAAATAAATTTTCTTTATATGTTTATAGAATCATTCTTATTAAAGAATTAATAAAGGGTAAGTCCACGTCAGAAATATCAGAATCTGCAAGTGGTTCTTCGATTTTAATGATACTTGGTAAAATTATAGCTTTATATAAGAGCAATGTGTAAGTAAAAGGAATTTTTAAAATATCTAAAATTGTAGGAGTTATATTACTTTTAATTTTGATACTGCATTTTTTTCTTTCCTTTATATCTCGGTCAATTTTCAACCGATTTTGATGAATCAAAAACGATTTTTTTCAGAAAATTACGTATTTTCAGAAAATTTTAAAATAAAAATAAAATTTTGTTACTTAAATAGAAAAAAGTAAAAAACAAAATTTCTTTTAGATTTTTTTCAATTTCGACCTCTTTTTTTTAATTTTTAATTTTTTAATAATATTCCTTTTTATTTTATCTTTAATTTAAAAAAAAATTCATCCTGGAGACTTTTTTAGATCTCATAGTATCGTCCTTTAAGTATTATAAGTCTTCATCAATTTGAAAACCGCAGGACTTGCTTCTATCATTACTTTCATTTGTTTGTTGAAATTTTTTATAGTTATGAATAATTATTTGTTTTAGAATCCTCTAAAAGAAAGCGCTAAAAACTTCAGCGACAATTTCAGGTTGCATTGTTAAGGTTTCATTACAATTTATTTTAAATTATAAATATTACAAAAAATAAAAACTTTGCTTCAAATCTATTAATAAAATATTGATTTGCTTGAATTTTCACTTGTTTTAGTCAAGTAATTTAAAAATAAAAACATTATTACGCGAAAGTTTCTAGTTTGTAACAATAATATTATAAAACAAATGAAAGTAGAAACACAAATCTGGATCCTAGTTTTCTTGAGATGTGGATATTTAAAGAACGATGTCACGAGATCTAAAAAAGTCTCCAGGATGAATTTTTTTTTAAATTAAAGATAAAATAAAAAGGAATATTATTAAAAAATTAAAAATTAAAAAAAAGAGGTCGAAATTGAAAAAAATCTAAAAGAAATTTTGTTTTTTACTTTTTTCTATTTAAATAACAAAATTTTATTTTTATTTTAAAATTTTCTGAAAATACGTAATTTTCTGAAAAAAATCGTTTTTGATTCATCAAAATCGGTTGAAAATTGACGGAGATATAAAGGAAAGAAAAAAATGCAGTATCAAAATTAAAAGTAATATAACTCCTACAATTTTAGATATTTTAAAAATTCCTTTTACTTACACATTGCTCTTATTTAAAGCTATAATTTTACCAAGTATCATTAAAATCGAAGAACCACTTGCAGATTCTGATATTTCTGACGTGGACTTACCCTAAAATGAATTTAATATCTAATAACATTAGTTAATTAATTAAATTTAATTAAAATAAAGAATATCGACTTCTTTTGGAATGTAAATCGACTAAAACGGCTTAATAATTTCTGATCTAAAATCAAGTAGGACCAATTTTTATTTAACAAAATGATTATCGTTTTAAACTTAAAATAAGCCACGTTTTAATACTAATTTCAAAATTATGTGACAAAATTTCAATTCAAACAAACCTGGAAATAATCATGAAAGAGCCTTAAATTTTGTTTGCAAATTCCTAGTGGCCACTCTGAACTAGTTTTCCATAAATTTTCTTAATTTTGTTTTAGGTTTTACCGGGGATACAATTGATTATTGGCCTTTGTCACAGTACAGGAAATGATAAAAAACAAGCAGCACCCCCACACAAAACAGATCACGATCATGTACTTGAACATTCATTACATCAATTATTACGTGAGGTACATCATAAAAATACACATCATCCATTTCCTCATCCATCGTCGGGACCACTTGGTCCAAGTAAAAGAAGATGTCTCGCCGGTCCAACGGCAGCCGATCGTCATGAACTTATTGAAATGACAAAAAGTCAAACACTATTGGAACAAATAATTCAACAGGCACAACATTTTTTCATGCGACTAAGAACTGAATATGTTTTAGATACAATAGCAAAAGAAGTGAAGGATCCATTAATTGTCTCACATTGGAATGCATTAAATTCACCAACGCAATCGTGTGTGAAAATAAATATTTTAACACACGGCTACGATTCAATGTATCGTACATCATTGATTGTACATGTTGGTGAAAAATCATTGAAATGTGTTTGTCGCGATGGCCGTGTTATGCATATGAGTTATGAACCACAGGAATTACGTGATTTAATATTTTGTCAAATTTATCAACATCAAATAATTGCCGTTCAATCGTTGGCAAAATGTATGGGATGGCAATTTTTATCAAACAGTGCACATTTGGGTCTTGGCGCTGTTGAACCATTGGGCAATGCAAGCAGTTGTATATTGGCATCGCCAATTGGCGATCGAATGATTGCAGTGAGATGTGAACCACAAACGGGCGTGCAAGTTGCAATAGCGCATTCACCGCGAAAAGATTTTTTCCCCGGTCAATTAGTGCGCGAAAGAAAATGGGAGAATCTCGGTGGTTCTTTTAAAGAAGTAAGATGGGATAAAATGGAGGGTAAAAATTTCCTCAACAAAATGGAACTTCTCATGGCGTCATTGACAAGCTCATAATAATTTTTCTAAATTCCAAAAAAAAATTTTTTGGACAATTTTTGTATTTTAACAGGGTGATATATAATATTAAGATTTTTAAGGTAGTCAAGTTTTTTTTTTTGTTTCGAAATTATTACAATAAAAAGAAGAAGAAAAATCTCAATTCTAGTTAGGCAATTCAAAATGTTAGGATATTATTTCCTAGTTTCAATTTTTTACGTCTTTTCTCTGTTTTTCCAATTTTTTTCCTGTTTTGAAAAAAATATAAAATCTAAAAATAATTGAAATTGTAAATTTTTTTCTATGGATAAAGAAAAAGGTGTACCTTAAAAAATTTTTTTATTCTTAAATTACATAGTACACATTTTTTGCTGTACATTTTTTTTTTATGATGTAGTCAACGACTTTTGATTCTTACAATATTTTTTTATATATAAATCTAAAATTAAAATTATTGAGCTAAAATCTCAAAGCTATTCAAAAGAAAAAAAAAAAAGAATTTCACAATACATATGAAAAAAAAAAAATGGTCAATTGTCGAAAATTTAAAGATCTAAAATAAATTATTATTTTCTTTATAATTCAATATAGATATATTATATATAAATAGTATATAGTTGAAAAAAAAAAAAAATTACACAAATTTTTTTAATGCGACTATTGAAATAAAAAATAATTGTGAATATGTAATAGATATGACAAGATCACACATATTTTGCGTTCACGTTCTTCTAAACATTTTCCTTAAACCAAGATTCTACATCCTCTTGTATAAAAAAGTCTCTTTCATTTATTTTTAGATACTAAATTACTATCTAATTAAGTATTTTTGTCATAGATTTGTTTTTTTTTTGTATATATATATATTCTTTTGTTTTTGAAGACGAAATACCACCTGAATATTCTAATTTATCGAGTATAATAAAATTACATAAAGCTCTTAATAGCTTAAAACTAAAATTTTCCGTTTTTAAAAACAGAATTACAAAGATTAAAAAATAAAGAAAATGAATATAAACTTAATATTTAGAGGCGGCATTATTTTTTTAAAATATCTAAAATGTCAAAATGGTTCGGATTGGAATCTCGTATTGGAAAAGAGCAGAAAACTAATTCGTGCTCGGTTTTTTTTTTTTTTTTTTTTTTTGATAATTTTTTTTCTTTTTATTATTATTTTTTTCACTTTTTAATGAAACAATTGATTAAATTTTGTCTTTTACCACCGGCAACTGTAAAGGCAATTATCATTGTAATTAAAAGAACAATATACGCTGATGAAATGCTAATTGCCTGATATCCTATTCCATTGAGAAGTGTCATTCCAGAAACAAATAAATGTGAACAAATTACCCATGCAATTTGTCCCCAATTTTTGTTATCGAGAGCTGAGAAGAAAATAACGCCCCAAAATGTGTGCAATAATATAAATGACAATGTCGTTGATGATGATACAATGAAAAAGAATTCATTACCACGACGAAGTCCCATTGTTGCTGGTCCAGCGGCATCTGCTAAAACATTAACTAGAGCAAATGCACCGCTCATTAAACCAAATCCAAGTCCACAAACATAAGCAAAAACATGTCTACTATCGGCAACATGAGCCGTTGTCACTTTCTCCAAACCTTTTTCTGCTTTACGAAGCAATTTGTAAAGAAGATACCTGGAAAATTAACTATCGTTAATTTCATTTACTATTTTTTTTTTTATATATATATGGACGATTCCACGTGAAATTTACCTATGAAATTTTAATTTCGCTAAATATATATTTTTTCGATCTTTATAGAAAACAAGGTTTACGTATATCGATTTTCAAAATATGTTAACGAAAAAAAAAAAAATTTGAATTTGTTTAGAAAAAAATAACGATTTTTTTTTATTTTTACACAGATGAAAATAGTAAGAAAATTTTGTAATAAGTTTTTGAATGGGTTTATATAATTTTCAAAAAAAAAAATTTTCCTTTTTTTTATTTTTCGAAATAAAATGTATTTTAATTTGCTTTTCTATTTAGTTTACTAAAAGAAACAAAGCCCACCCAAAAACTTATCACAAAATTACTCATTATTTTCATCTGTGTAAAAATAAAAAAAATTGCGCACAAATTTAAAAAAATTTAATTTTTTTATAAAAAAAAATTGTTATTTTTTCTAAACAAATTCAAAAAAATTTTTTTTTCGTTAACATATTTTGAAAGTCAATAAAAAATTGCAACTGAAAAAATCAGATTTTAAAAAATTTATAACTCGAAAATTTGAGAATTTATAAAAAAAAAATAAAAAAAATACGTAAACCTTTTTTTCCAAAAAAAAGTCGAAAAAATATATATTTACCGAATTTAAAATGTCATAGGTAAATTTCACGTGGAATCGCCGATATACTTTCTCTGTTCTATACATTTTTCAAAAACTATTCAAAAATTAAAACTAAAAAAAAAAATTTAGATGTTATTTTTATTCCAGCAGAGAAAAAAAATTAAAATCTGACTCCGTTTACATCTTAAAACAAAAATGACTGAATATTAGTCAATTTTTTGGCTCATAATAAATTTAATTCCATTTTTTTTTACTTAAAATCAATGAAGGCTAAAATTCATTCGAAATTTAATCATATCAAGTTTATAGTTACAGTTCAAGTTTATTAAAAATGAACCAAAAGTTTTGAACGTTCAAATGAACAAAAATTTTTTTTTGTAACTTCTTTATGTACGAATTTTATTACAAAATATTGTTGTAAATATCTAAAAAGAAGTTATTCTTAATATTTGTTTAATTTACTGTTTTATTTTACATTGACATTATAATTTCTAATAATTTATAGATTGAAAAAAATATTTTGTTCATTTGAACGTTCAAAACTTTTGGCTCATTATTGAAATCAAGATTTGTTTTTTACAGTGAGAAGTCCAAAAATAAGACGCATGAATATTTCCTATAGAAATTTTTTGGGCGTCGCATTACTAATTATTAAATTTCTATTTAGTAGAATTTTATAAAGTGGACTTTATATTAAACCGAATTTTCATATCGAAGAATTTTTAGTTAAATAAATTCAAAGAATTTTAATTTAACATAATTTTTCTGCAATCGAATTTTTACTTATTCGAATATTAACATTATTTTTATTAAACTAAATTCACATTTAACAAAATTTCTAATTAACAAAATTCTTATTTAACTATATTTTAATTAATGAAAATTTTCATTAACAGAAAATTTCTTATTAGCTGAATTTTTAAATGTGACAATTTCCATTTCACTGAAACTTTAGTTTATCGAACTTTCATTTGTCCGAACAAATACACGGTCAAAATATATTTCAGCGGAAATTTTAAAATCAACCAATCAAAAAATTATTAAAAATATTTTGATTGGTTAATTTTAAAATTTTCGCTAAAATAATTTGGTCGAGTCTTTTTCAGATTAGTGAAAGTTTTGTTAAATTCTATAATAAGTAATTCGACACCACAAATTATTCTTTTTCTTTTTTTTTTGAATTTGTGTTTTAAAGTAAATTTTTCGAAAAATTGATGCAAAATATCACTGAAAAATAATTTTACTAGATCTTTTGCAATTTAAAGATTAAAATTTTATTTTTAAGCCAAAATTTTCTAAAATATAGGACATAAAAATATTGTTCATTGAGTTATGTATTTTCCAAAATTTTGCATATTTTACCGAAAAAAATTAAAGTAAAATGAATTTTAAACCTTTTTTTTAATGATTTAATCATAAAAATACAATTTGCAGGGTTTTTTTTACTACTTATATGATTTTTGTAATCAGCGAATCTAAATATATAAATATACGTAGTATCAAGAAAAAAAGAGGTTTTTATGAAAAAAATTTAGAAAATTTTTCAAAATTCCGAAAAAATTGTTTTCCACTGTAGGACCGGACTCAAAATTTTTGTAAAAAAAAAGTTGTTTTTTTGAAAATATTTTAAAAACTATAAAAAAAATACAAACAATTTTAAGAATAAAATTTTAATCTATAAATTGCAAAAAAAATCAGATAAACTATTTTTCCGTCATATTTTGTACCAAATTTTGGAAAAGTTCACAATTTCAAAAACAAAACTTTTAAAATTGATGCATTTTTAAAAAAGTTACGAGTATTAAAAAAAAAAAATCTAAAAAAATCTGAAAATTTCAAAAAATTCATATCTCGTAAACAGTTGGATAAAAAAATTTGAAAAAAATCATAATACCCTTTTTTGTAGAATACAAAAAAGATAAAAAAAAAAAAACTTTAGACAAATCAAAAATGTCAATGTCAAATGATAATGTTGAAATGGCGTGGAAACCCCCATATTGACTCATGCTCTCTTATCTTTGGCAAAAAAAAAAAAATTCAACACTTTTTTAAAAATTATTTTCTTTAAAAAATATAAATTCTTACAATAAATGTGTGAACAGTTAAATGAATGATGAGATTTATAATTACCTGAATATTTCTTGAAAAATGACCGAGTATACAATGCCAATGGACAAATAAGGCCTCAATGGAACAATTGCAAACCAAACTATCGACGACACTAGTAATGAGGATAACCAAAAAAATGAACTAGCTATTAATATAATAATTCTAATGGGTTCTATTGCAATTGTAAATGTAAACATTGCTAAAGGTGGTCCAAATGCAAGAAATGCATTTCCAAAAAAGTCCATTAATGTCATCTTGAATTTGTGTTTTTTTTTTCTAGACCATTAAACTATGTTCGCTTTTCTATTTCAAACGATTGCACTTGTATTTTTAATTTCTTTTAGATTTAAATTTTAAACTTTCTTTACATTCTGATTCATATAATCACATATTTGATAACAATGAAAGTGGTTTTTTTTTTACAATTATTTTAAACTTGGTTGTCATTTAGTGGTTAATAGGGGGGATAATATCAGGGATGGATTGTTGTAAAAGTGCATTCACCCCTTGCATTGACAAAGAAAAACATAGATAGTGAACTCATATGATAATCAGAATAAGGTGTGATTTAACCGAAAAACGCTCACTTCATATCATACTGTGATGTCATGGGCCGTTTCCGAATTGGGATTTTTACTGCATACTTAATAAAGTGGTCCTTGTTTTTCCTTGCAAAAAAAAGGACACTGCATACTTCCCGACTATACACTTTATGGAAATAATAATAATATTATCCTTATGAAATTTTCTTGTTACAGTGTGGATAATATATTTTTTTTCCCTCTTCTTCTTCCTAATTGATCCCAGCGCACCACTACAGTTCTAATTGAACTAAATGCGTTGAAACATTTCTAAGTGATTTCCACACTACATTTGAAACATTCTATGAAATAGTGTGTGGGATTTTGCCAGTAAATTTTCAATTTTAACCTGTTATCTTTTTTGTTGCCTCTCTATTTTTAAAATTTATAATTGTGAGTGCAATGAATTTTAATAAATTGTAATAAATAACAGTAAAATGGCTCCAACTATTCAAGTTAACGGCACAGTTGCAGAAAGGGAAAAAAGATCAGTGCGACAAGAAGACAGAAGGTATATATAATAACAATATAAATCATAACCTCATTGTGCACATTTGACAGACAAACAAAAATATATTTAAAATTCATTCTGTTTTGTTTATTTAGATCGGAGTTACTATGCAGAATCAAATTCTGTAATACACTCCCGGACATTCCATTTGATTTGAAATTTATAACATATCCCTTCGAATCTACCAGGTAAGATTATTTGCTCTATACTTTTATTTTTTCTAGAAAGAAATAATTGAATTTTTTTTTTTATGGAAAAACCATTTTATGTTTTTATATTTTAAAAAAAATTTCATATATTCTACAATTATTAATTTGATACTATTAAAAATGTGGTGAAAAGTCGAAAATTCCGGGAACAACGAAAATATTTAAATCGATGTGCCGGTTGAAAGTAAGGGCCGGTATATTGTGAAAAATTTTCCAAAATATTATTCACATTCAATATTTTTAAAATATTGTCTAAAGGCGTATATTAACAAGCGTTGTAGCAACATTGTCGAAAAACATTCGCAATAGTAATAAAATATTGTGACGAAGCTGAAATACGCTAGGTTTATGATAAACGATTTTTAAAGAAATAATTTTTAAAATGAAAATTTTTATAATTTGTTGATTAATGAAAACTACAAGAAATATTTTTTAGGCAAAGAATTATAGAATTTTTCATTTTAAAAAATTATTTCTTTAAAAATCGTTTATCATAAACGTTGCGTACTTCTGCTACGTATATTGTGGCCATATGTTGTGCTATTTGGAATAATATATAATAATAAATTTATTAAACGTGTACATTTTTTTCAAAACTCAGTTTTTGAGGCAAATGCAAAAAAAAAAACTTGAATTATTAATCAATCAGAAAAACAACAAGACCGATTGCAGTTTTTATTCTTTTTCTAATGGCGATTTAAGTTTTTTTTTTGCATTTTTCTTAAAAACTAAGTTTTAGAAAAAATGTATTACAATAAGATCTACATACAACTTTTGTTTAAAATACTTTTAACGTAAATATCCAAATTTTGCATATTTTACAAAAAAAAAATAAACAAATACAAAATAAAATTTTTGGTCTTTTTATGATTTTCACCATAAAAATCAAATTTATAGGTATTTACAAAAAATTGAAGTTATGTGTGAAAAAATTCTAAACAATATTTTTCTAAAAATTCACGAAGCTGAAGTACGCAACGTTTATGATAAACGATTTTTAAAGAAATAATTTTTTTAAATGAAGAATTCTATAATTTTATGCCTAAAAAATATTTTTTTTATAATTGGTTGATTATTGGGTACCTCACCAGGATTATCAATTGCTAAAGTTGGAACGCGCTCAAAACAAATTTTTACGTTTTGCTGCGAAACAAGTTAACGTACACTATGATTTCTTCAGTCATGATTACACAAATCTTAGAGAGTCGCTTATGGTCCCAATTTTTTCATCTAGAATTATTTATCTGGATTTATTGTTTTTGTTTAAAATTATAAACGGACTTATTGATTGCCCTCTTATACTATCTTGTATTGACTTTATTGTTCCCACAAAAGGTTTGAGAAATCAGAAACTGTTTAAAATACCATTTAATAGACAAAACTATTTGGACAATTCTGTTTTAAATAGAATATTTTTTAGAGGTAATGAGTATTGTGATGAGCTAGATTTTTTCGGTATATCACTAGATAGATTTACCCGTGATTTGCGTAAATTAATTTTTGAGTAAATGTGTGACTGCCAAGGCGATTTGTTTTATTGCTTGTAATTTGATAATGTAAATTTATTATCTAGTGCTTTTGCACAAAAGGGCATTTTTCTTTTTCTTGTAAGCCCGTACATGGTAAATAAATAAATAAATTATTGAAAACTACAAGAAATATTTTTTAGGCAAAAAATTTTAAGAATTTTTCATTTTAAAAAATTATTTTTTTAAAAATCGTTTATCATAAACGTTGCGTATTTCGGTTTCGTAAATTTTCTTGTAAATATTTTTAAACATTCACAAAATTCGGATTCAATGTTTAAATTAGCGCGTTTCAGTTTTATGATCATGATTTGTGAAACGAAAGCATTTTAAAAATAGACAATAATTCTAGAAATAGACTTTTCTTAAATTCAAAGTCATTAATTTTTGAAATTTTTTTTTTTTTATTAAAGTCATTATTAAATTAGTCATTATTAAAATACTAATAAAACAATTATTTAGTCATAGAACTTCCAGCAATTAATTTATAATTATATAATTTATTAATTTTTTTCGCTTTATTTTAAGAAATTTCTCAGACCGGTAAAATACAAAAAATTAAAGAATTAAAAACATTAAATTTTTTTTTCAAAAATTGATAACTTCGGTTTTGAAAAAAGTCATTTTTTAGATACTTTCGTTCCAGTTACATATGTTATGTTTTACTATATTTTAAAAATATTTAATAAAAAATCGAGGAAATTATATAATAATAAAATACTTGGTCTGTCCTTCTGTCCTAACTTGAAGTTGGCCTTTTCTGATTTCACGTGTTTTTTTTGAATAGTAATCTTATGACGTGTCAAATTTTGACAATTCTTTTTCTCATTTTTGCCAAAGTTGTATAATTGTGTTTCCAAATTTCGGAATAAGTTTCTTTAAAATTCCAAATTCGAAAATTCAATTCACGAAGCTGAAGTACACAACGTTTACCAACGAAATTTTTTTTAAACTTGTATATTGATTCAAAAATTGTATACAAATACAAAAAATTTATGATGTGAAAAAAGATGCGCCAGGAAATTTCGTACAAGATAGTAATTTGACAAAAATTTATTTTTAACGTACCAGGGGCCAACGAATACCTATTAAATATTAATTATAAAAACACAGGCCTCGAATCAACTTAAAGACACAAAAAGCCGTTTTAGTCGATTTATATTCCAAAAAAAGTGGATTTGTTTTTTATTTTAACAAAAATATTTTAAAGATATTTAAATAAAAAATTTTTTTTTAATAATAATCCTTTTCGAAGGGATAAAGTTGAAATTTTTAGAAATAATTAAATTTCAAAAGATATTGTTAATTTTCAAACAATTATTAAATTTTACAGAACTAAAAATAATTTATCAAACAATTTTTGGAAAACATTTTTTAAATTTAATTGAGTTTTCAAAGATTTAAAATTGAGATTTTTTAAATTAATTGAAACTTTAAGTGATTTTTAATTAAAATTTTAGATGATTTCACTAAAATTTATTAGAAAATGCGGACAAAATACAATAATTTGAAAATCATTTTTAATTGAAAAATGGTTTCAGATAGTTGAATTTTCAAAGAATATTATTAAAATTATTTAAAATAATTGAATTTCCTTAGAGTTATAATTGAAATTATTAAATTTCAAAAAAACAAATTTTTGATTGAAAATTTTAGAAATAATTAAATTTTAGATGCTTTTAAATTCAAATTATTGAAAATTCAATTAATTTTGAATTCAAATTTTTGAGAATAATGAAATTTTATTTGATTTTAAATTTGGAAAATAATTGAATTTCAGTTGATTTTGAATTGAAAATTTTGGGAAATAATTGAATTTTAATTGAAATTTTGGATAATAATTTAATTTAAGTTCAGTTTTGATTGAAAATTTGGATAATTAATTTTGAATAGAAATTTTAGAAAATAATTGAATTTTATTTCATTTTAAATTGAAAACTTGGTAAATAATTAAATTTTAAATTGAAAATTTTTTATAATTATTGAATTTTAATTGATTTTGAATTAAAATTTCGAGTAATAATTGAATTTTAATTTATTTTGAATTGAAATTTTTAAAAAGTAATTCAATGTTATTGTGATATTTTTTTTAAATTATAAACAATTGTTAAATTTCATAAAAATTTTAATTGAAAAATAATTTTGATATAATTGAATTTGTGATGTATTTCATTAAAATTATTAAAAATAATTAATTTAGTGAAGAATCATTTTAGTTCAAAATTTGTTAAATAATTGAATTGAAGAAGATCTGAAGAAGATCTATATTTTATACTAAAAAAATGTATTTTATTTAAATTTTTTTTCAAATGTAAAAAAAAATGTCGTATTTTATTGAAATAAGTCGATCCGATGCCTGTAAACATATTATTTTCATTATTATCATTTAATATGTAATAATATTCTAATAAATTAAATTATTATTTATAATATTAATCTTTAATTTCTTTATAACAAATAATTAAACACTTAATTTGGCGCGCTTGCGCGCGTTTAATTTTGCTATTTTTATATAATACATTATTTTTTATTTGTTAGTACAACATGTACATAGAAGATCGTGTTTTAAAAGTACTTTACTTCTAAAGACACTAACTTAAAAAAAAATCATAATTTTTTTAAATGAAAACTTAATTATGGAATGCCCAATTTGAATAATATGATTTTAATATATTTACAAAAATCTAATAAATTGTTTTTTACATTAAATTTTTTTTAAAAATTATTTAAAAGCACGCAATTAAAAGAAAACATAAAAATTATGCATTTTTAAGGAAATCATAAGGGTTTAAAAAAATATTAAATTATTAAAGTATACGAAAATTGAAAAATATTTTGAAAAAATTAACTTTTAGATTTATTGATTATAATCCAACATCCTTGGAGAGAAATCACAAATACGATGTCCTGACAGAACACGATCTTGGCGTTGAGGTCGATTTAATAAACAAAGATGTTTACGCTGTTGATCTTAATGTTTCTCTCGATCCTGCCGATGAGAAACTTCTCGAGGAAGACATTTTGACACCACAAGATTCGAAACGTTCCAGACATCATGCACGTAGTGTATCGTGGCTTCGACGTACAGAATATATTTCAACTGAACAAACTCGTTTCCAACCTGGAAATGTGGAAAAAGTCGAAGCTAAAGTTGGTTTCAGTATTAAGAAAAATTTCAAGGTAATAATTTGCTCTTTAATACAATTAATTCGTTTATTTAATTTTTTTTTTAAATTTATTTATTTAATTTATTAATTATTGTTGGTGATGATAAAATTAATTTACTTCTATATTTTTTTTGCAGGAAGAAACACTTTATATGGACAGAGATGGTCAAATAAAGGCCATCGAGAAAACTTTCGAGGATAATAAAAGACCAATTGAAAGACATTACAGTAAATCGAATGTTGTTCCAGTTGAAATATTACCAGTTTATCCTGACTTTAAAGTGAGAATTCTTTGTTTTCTAATTTATTCAATTTCTTATTTTTTAAATCAATTTTTTATTAATACTTTATTTAATTCATTTTACTTTTTTTTATTAAATTTCTAAACAAAAGTTAGTTAATTTATCTATTTTTTAAAATTCTATAGCTGTGGAAATATCCTTGTGCTCAAGTCATCTTCGATTCAGATCCTGCGCCTATTGGTCGATCAGTTCCTGCTCAAATTGAAGAAATGTCTCAAGCAATGATTCGGTAATTTAAAAAAAAAAAAAAATTTCTACTACATTTTTTTTAATTCAAAATATTTGTGTTAATTTTTATTTCTTTAAATTATGCATTAATTTTAAAGATATGAGTTTTAATTGTTGGTTTTGAAAGTAAAAGAAAACTATTTTTATATACTTAATTTTTTAGGGGTGTGATGGACGAGAGTGGAGAACAATTTGTCGCTTACTTCTTACCACAAGAGGACACATTGGATAAACGTAAGCGAGATCAAATGGCTGGTATCGAATATGCTGAAGACGAAGAATATGATTATAAAATGGCTCGAGAATATAATTGGAACGTTAAAAGTAAATCGTCTAAAGGTTACGAAGAAAACTACTTCCTTGTTATGCGCGAAGATGGGGTATTTAATTATTTTTATTATTATTATTATTATTATTAAAATAGAAAAATTTATTGTGAGAAATAAAATATTTTTTTTTTGCAATATTTATATAAATTTTCTTCTAGGTGTATTACAACGAATTGGAAACCCGTGTACGACTTAATAAACGTCGACAAAAAGCTGGACAACAACCAAACAATACTCGATTGGTTGTTCGTCATCGTGTACTCAATGCAACTGAATTTAGAATGCAACGTTATCGAGAGAAACAACTTGAACCACCAAATGATGAAGATGATGAGGAAGAAGAGGAGGAGGAAGAAGAAGAAACTCAACTTATTCCCGATAGAAATGAAGATAAAGGTACAATTTTGTTTTACATATTTTATATAATCAGAGTCGCTACCAAATTTTGAATTTTTTTTTTTAAACCGAAAAAAACTGAAAAATTCTTGAATTTTGTTTGGGAAATTTTAGTGTCGATCCTGATACTTAATATTTTCCAATATTACCTTCTTTCACAAGGAAAAAAAAATTCACATTAAAAAATTCCTATTTTCAAGCTGGTTCCGATAATGAAGACGGATCGCGAGCATCATCTCGTGCTTCATCGCGAGGATCACGTGCATCATCACAAGCATCAAGTAAAAAATCAGGATCACGTTCGCGATCTGGATCACCAGCAAAATCAAGATCTCGTTCACGATCACCATCAAAGGCACGTTCACAACGTTCTGTTTCTCGTTCACAACGTTCTGCATCACGTTCACAACGTTCTGTATCACGTTCACAACGTTCTGTATCACGTTCACAACGCTCGGCATCGCGATCACAACGTTCTGTATCACGTTCTCAATCAAGATCATCATCAAAAGCACGTTCAACTTCACGATCACGTTCACGTTCTCAATCAAAATCACGATCAGTGACACCACAATCGAGAGCATCTTCCAAATCAAGATCACCATCCAGATCACGATCACGTTCGGCGTCACCTTCAAAATCACGATCAGTCACACCTGCAAAATCACGTTCACAATCGCCAGCAAAATCACGATCACAAACACCAACAAAGTCAAGATCACAAAGTCCCGCTAAATCGAGATCACAATCAAAATCACCGTCAAGATCAAGATCAAGATCGGGATCAAAATCAAGATCACCATCAAAGTCGGGCAGCGGAAGTGGCAGTGGAAGTGAAAGTAGCGAAAGTGGTTCCGAGGCTTAATGAAAAATAATCGAGAATAATTGGGGGAAAAAAAAAAAAAATTAATTTTGTAAATTTTTCACAGAAAGATGAATTTTAAAACAAATTTCCAGGTATTTAGTCATCAATTTCGTTTTTCTTTTTATTCATTTTATTTGAATTATGTGCATGTAACGATTTTTTACTAATTATTTTTTCCATAATAAGGAAAAAAATTTCAATAGAGAAACTTATTAAAAATGACAGCAATATTCTTTTGGCATCTAAGTAGGTGGAGCTAATTAATTCCCGTTTGGGTGAGAAAATATATTTGCAAAAAGTCATTCTGTGTAATTTTCTCCTTTTATTTCATGTATAAAATTTACTATAATAGTATTAATATTATAGTTCTGTTTTTTTTTTGCTTTCTGTTAATCGATCGTACTGTACAAGTTTACTGTCGGAAATGCATGAATTTCCCTTAAAAATCATTAGTTAAAATTTTCATTTTAAAGAATTTTATGATAAAATTTTTTTTTAAGACGAACTATCATTTTTCGAATAAAACCTAACAGAATTTCTTTTTAATCGAATTTTAACTAAACAGATGTTTTAGAAATTGAATTTTTTTGTTTGAAAGAATTTTTATTTTACAAAATTTCTCTTTACCCAACTTTTTTTTAAATAGATTTTAATTTAAACGAATAATAATTTAGCAGAATTTTAATTGAACAGAATTTTAAATGATTCGAATTTTTAAATGCCAAAATTTTCAATTCATCGAATCTTCATTTGTCTGAATTTTTTATTTACACGAAATATTATTATTTGATAGAATTCTTAAAACACCGAATTTCCAATTGACCGAAATTGAATAAACAATCGACAGAAAGATTTTGTCCCGAATTTTAAAATTAAAATTATAATCATTGATTTTTATTGAAAATTCATGCACCTTTTACTATCCTGTAATTCCTAATTTCAATAATTAATAACTGACATTGTTAATAATTTAATTATTAATAGATTTATTATTAATAATTTTATTTTTAAAAAATCAAGTCTATTTGTAATAAAATGTAATTTTTTCTTCTGTCTAATTTATATTTGAAATTGACATATTTTAATGAAAGATATTCTTTCGTTGTAATTAGAATTTTGTGATGAATTTTAACAAATGTATACTTTTGAATATTTTAAATATTTTCGTAATGATTTTTACATATATAGTGCAAACATCTCCAATGAAGAAATTGTTTCCCTTTTCCAAAATTTTAACACAACTATCTACTATTTTCTAGTGAATTTGTAAATTTTAATTTACGAGCTTAAGAAGATCAAAAATATTATTGAAAATTTACTGATTGTATTTGATAGAATAAAAATGGAAAGTAACCATTTTTTTTAGATAGAAGTTAAATAAATTTAAAACACACATGTCTGTATTGGAGGATTAATTTTAATAAAATAGATCTATTACACAATACGTTTATGAGACTCTAATTTCTTATCCGAAATGTAACATCTACTCGCGGTTAAAATTTATTGATAGAAAGATAACTTTCTAGAGAACTAGAGAGAAAGATAAAAATTAAATATTTAATTAATCAAGTGGTGTTTTTTAATTTTTGGCCTATTGCCCTACCGAAAGAGTGGTACTGGAATGGTACTGAATTGGACTTGGCTTGAGTTCCACTTCAGTACCACTACCTGATAACCCATAAGAAGACATTTTTAAAGTACTTTAACAATAGTTTTAAAGGTATATAAGATCAACAAACCGTCTCTCACGATATACGTGTAAAACAGCAAAAAAAAAACATAATAGTTTGTAGAAAATTTCTGTTAAGTTTGGAAATTATATTGCAATCCCTCCTTGAACAATAGACCCCTAGGTCCTTTGTTGAAGGATTAAAATTTTAACCCGAGTTTTATTGCTTCAAAAATTTATAATTTTAATAACTCAACTTTAAAAAATATATATTGAGATTCGTTAATATTTCCAGATTATGAATATCTAAAATTTATCAAAAAATAATTACATTTAAAAAAGTTATAATTTATCTCGTATACCTTAAGTTTGACAAAAAAATGGACATCATTTTTGAATTTAGCTGCCAAAGGACATATCATATGCATAATAATGTATGAAAATAATATAAATCCAGGAAAAACAAATATAATATTGAAATAAATATAAAGTATTAGTTTAAACATATTGAAAAAGCTAGTCGCTTTTCACTTTTATGAGGGTTTTAACGGTAACTCGACCCTTTTCGCAGGTAAATTTCCCAGTTCCATTTCAGTACCAAAATGCACCAAATTAGTACTGAGTTGGTACTGAGCCTTCAGTTCCAATTTCCTAGTACCAATCCAGTACCACTCTTTCGGTAGGGTGGCTTTTTATTTTAACATCAATTTACATTACGCGTTTCGACGCAGAATTCTGCGTCCTCATCAGATATCATCACTGTAATTAGATAGAATCACATTTGGATTTTTTCGAAGATACATTTAAGTTGGGAAACAACCTTTGTCTAATATAAAATTTATTGTAATAAAAAAAAACGGCACTGAATGTGAAAATGATAAACATTGATTTTAAAATACTTTTTTCTGGAAACACGGACACTTTTTACAAAATCGGCCAACGTACCAAGGATTCTTATTTTATAAATTTCCTAAATCCGAAAGATTGTGCAAATCCATGCAAAAACGCTGTTGCAAAATGAAAAGTAGGAAAGTAATATAATAACAGCTGCGACTTTGTGCTCCTTGCATGCTTCTGCCATCTGATGGCGACAGGACGTAATGAACCTGTCATTAGAGGCCCAAGCAGAATAGGATCCTTGAATTGGAATGCAATCGTATAAACAGTAGCGTAAAGGCACTCTCACACCTTTTTGGCTGCCTGCCTGCCTGCAGGTTACCATGGCAACGCATGAGTGTGAGTAAGACAGAAAATTTGAATATTCAAATTTTTAAATTTTTTGTCGCACTCACTCTCATGCGTTGCCATGGTAATCTGCAGGCAGCCAAAAAGGTGTGAGAGTGCCTTAAGAATTAGTAAGAGATTAGTAAAGCAATCAGCTGGATTGAATTTTCACGGTTGTATCACTGAATTTGATTGGCTCTATAACAATATTCAATTTTCACGGTGAAAATGGAATATTTGTTAGAGCCAATCAAATTCAGTGATACAACCGTGAAAATTCAATCCAGCCGATTGCTTTACCAAAATACTGGAGGTATAAAAGCACCTCAACTATTTCAAAAATTAAAGGCGCCCTCCCATGACAGCGTAAAACGCCGACGTAAAGCCGGCCTTTCACGCTGTCATGAGACAGGCGCCTAACACTGAAGATGGAATCTATTTCAAAGCAATATATATTTAAGGCGATTGTACACCTCACAAATTCTGAGTATCCTCGGAATTGGTCAGAAGTTTCACTAACTTTGATTGGCTTTGCTCATAGAGAATTTCGAAATTTTCCTATCTTTTGGAAATTCTCCATGAGCAAGGCCAATCAAAATTAGTATAACTTTTGACAAATTCCAAGTATACTTAGAATTTGTGAGGTGTACAAGCGCCTTTATATTATTCATAATATAATGTCTATTTTAGTGACTTGATCGTCAAAATTCATCGCATCGTTTACCCAAAATACCGAAGATACACTGACTTAGCCGTATATGCCTACACTTTTTTGTCCTTTTCTAACGCACGTGTTGTCATGACAACACGTGTGTAAGACAAGGACAGAAAAGGGATGGGAATCAATAACCACAAGTATGCATATATGGAACAATCGAAAATCATCAAGTTTGTCGTTGTAAACTTCAACTCAATAGAATCTATGGCAGTAGGAGAAGAGTTAAGTTTTAAAGAAACGCTATGTATTTCAAAAATAGTCCACTGCGAACGTAACGATCAGAATGTGCATTGATTCAATATAATCTATACATTAAACTTTTCGATTGTTATGCTCCAAGTGGTCAATTTTGAAAACACTATTTTATTCCACATTTGTTTACAAATTACCAACATGAAAATAATTTTTGTCATGTTTGTCAAACTGTTTTAATTTCACAGACAGTTTGCTATCCTTGCTGAGAAATGAGTTCAACCTTCTTTATCCTTTATTTTTCTTTTTTTTTCGGTGTTAAAAAAAACAAACGTCAATCTGTGTACATTTTGTCATTCGATGATTTTTGAAATTGCAATATTGCGTCATCTCTGTGACCTGTCCAACTGGATATAATTGTGACACAAAGTGTATACACATGGAAAAGTGTTATTGTGAAAAAAGTGTATTTAAAAAGAAACAATTGCATCGCAAAATATAAATACAATAAAAAAAAGGTCCCTACTTATTTTAATAAGGTAAGTAAAATACATAATTTTAATTTTCTCATCTCAAAAAGAGCTTTAAATTAAGTAAATTTTTTTTCCCTCTGGAAATTAATGTCATGCTCTTGAAATAAATAAAATTCATTATAAAAACATTGAATCTGAATGATATATATATATATATAAATAGCATTGAATTTCTTTAATATATTTTGTAACAGTTTCTATTTTTATTAATAATAATTATTCAAATATTCATGAAAATATTAAAAATTTCAAATAATTGTATTTAAAACAATTGAATAAGTTATTTTGTTATTTCCTGTGACTGGAAATTTGATTCTTGTGTTTATGGGTATAGAGGTTATGTTTGTAAAATTGCAATATTATTATAGTTAGTTCATGAAATATTTGTTTTTTTACATTATAATAATAGTGTTAAGAATATTGAGGTAATGTTGCCAATATTGCTGCAAGTTCAAATGCTGTAATGGACATATTTCCCTATCATTGAATATTAATTAATTTATTCAACAAAATTACACACATCCATTGAAAAATACATATTTAGAATTGGTCTGAATAATCGAAGCCATTATAATATAATTTTTTTTTTGAAGAAGAAGAGAAACATATTAAAATCACTTATTTTCATCCAATCATTCAATAGAAAAAAATATTGAAAATCCAATTATTATCAGATATGTCTTTATTACAAATGATAATAAAATATTAGTTTCAAATAGAATTTTATTAATTTGACTTATTAACGATCTAATATTATTATTATTATTATTATTATTATTATTATTATTATCTACTATTATTTTAAATTGTTTCTAATAATTCGATAAGTATATCAATAATTTTTTTTCACCTTGACATTAAATTTTTGTATAATTTTACAGTTTTTTTGATGTATGTAAATAAATTTATTATTACTGTTTTTTTTTTTAAAAGAATTCGATATTAAAAAATAATGATTGTTCCTGGAAACATAAATTTTGCATAAAATAGTTTTTCTAGTAGCTTAGAAAAATAAAAAAGAATTGTTGAAAAATGTATGTATTCTGGCTCGCGGTATCATTTCCCCCAATGATATAATTACTGGGGGGACAATTATCGCGTGTCAGAGTACATACAGACGAGGATGGTTTCATTGTATATTGTAAAAGGTGTAACTTTGAGAGGATGTCAGGGCCGATTTCTTAACGATTTCAAGGCTTTATTGAGTAAATAAACCATTGGCATTGCAGGATCATTCCATGAACGAAGTCTAACTTCTATATGATATATATATATATAGATATTGTGTATTATTGCCCGATCTAGACTTGATTATTTAAATAATTTCTTATCATTTCTTTCAATACAACTGTGTCAATATTCATTTTCAAAATTATATAGTTTAATTTATAATTATTTTTAGTCACATCCAATTTTTTCAAATATTTAATTCAGTAGAATTATAAAAAAGAGATTTTATAATGAGCCTAATTTTAATAATGAAAAATTTCTATTTAACAAAATTCTGATTTTGTAGAATTTCTATTGAACTGAACTTAGATAAAGCAGATTTTCTAATATATCGAATTTTCAAATAACACAATTTCCATTTAATAAAATTGATATCTAGAAAAATTTTCATAAAATATGAATTTTTATTTATCAGAATTGATTATTTGTCGAATTTCTATTTATTCGAATATTAACTTAAAATTATTTTAATTAACAGAATTTTAAATTAAAATAATTTTTATATAACAAAATTCTCTTTTAACAAAAATTTTATTCAAAAAATTTCTATACTATCTAATTTTTTTTAATAGTATTGTCATTTAACAGAAATTCTTAGCTAAATTTTTAAAACAGAGAATTTCTATTTCACCGATACTTTATTTGACCGAAGTTTCACTTATCCGAATTTTCATTAGATAGAAATGTTAAAATGTCGAATTTCCATTTGATCGAACTTTCATATATCAGATTATCCACTTGGTATACAAATTTCAGCGGGAGTTTTAAAATCAACCAATCACAATTTTCATAATAATTTTTAATTGATTGATTTTAAAACTCCCGCTGAAATTTGTATACCAAGTGGATAATCTGATATATAAAAGTTCGATCAAATGGAAATTCGACATTTTAACATTTCTATCTAATGAAAATTCGGATAAGTGAAACTTCGGTCAAATAAAGTATCGGTGAAATAGAAATTCTCTGTCTCAAAATTTAGCTAAGAAGAATTTCTGTTAAATGACAATACTATTAAAAAAAATTAGATAGTATAGAAATTTTTTGAATAAAACTTTTGTTAAATGAGAATTTTGTTATATAGAAATTATTTTAATTGGAAATTCTGTTAATTAAAATAATTTTAAGTTAATATTCGAATAAATAGAAATTCGACAAATAATCAATTCTGATAAATAAAAATTCTATTTTATGAAAATTTTTCTAGGTATCAATTTTATTAAATGGAAATTGGAATTATAAAATCTATTTTTTAAAATTCTACTGAATGTAATTTCGATAATTTTTAATTTGACACTACAAAAATTCCGTCAAGTCTAATGAAGAGAATATTCATGCATCCCAAAATAAAAAAAAGAAAATTTTTTGGAAATATTTTTTAATATAAATGTAATTGACAAAATAAGTGTGTGTAATTATTGTTATTAGACAAATAATTTCAATAAAAAATAAAAAAAAAAATGAAAACAAAAAAATTAAAAGTAGATCTTTAAAATTGATATGAAATATTTTTCTTTAAATACTATAATATTTCCTCTTTCGCAGATGGCACCGAGAAATAAAGAAAACTTAATGAAAAAAACGAAACATATTTCCGAGGATGAAGATGATGAGGATTATAGAAAAAGACGCGACAGAAATAATCAGGTGAGTGTTATTTTAATTACTAATTAAATCGCGAAGGTAATTCTATTTTCGTATACATAAATTTTTCTCTAATCTATTGATATTTCAGGCAGTAAAAAGATCTCGCGTAAAGAGTAAATTACGTACACAACAAACTTTAGATCGAGTGAATCAACTTAAAACCGAGAACGAATTGTTGGAGGAAAAAATTAAAATGCTCACTAAGGAACTTGGATTTTTAAAAGATCTTTTCTTGGCGCATGCAGGTAAAAAATTTTTACATTTTTTTTTTATTGAAACTGAAAATAGTTATTGAAAAGACAGAAAATAAATTTTTTTTTTTTTTTTTTACAAAAAATAGAGAAAAAAAAATATTTAAAAGAACATTTAATCATTCTATTTTCTAGGTTCAAATCCAAATTCAATGAACATACAAGACCTGGATTTTAATGCGATTCTTGCTGAAGAGTCATGTTCGAAATCCGGGGATTCATCAATGTAAATAACTTGCCATTTGAGTCGCTGTGTCGACGGTGGTACAAATTCAGTTGAATGGAACTTTGTGTGTCCTCAATATACTCTCGTTGGTTAAAAAAAAAAATATAAAAAAAAAAAAAAAAATAGAAAGAAAAAAAAAGAAGAGTAATTGAAACTTGGATATCTTGGAAAGATGCCAACTTTTGCGATTAATCGCGTGCGAATCGCAAGAATCAAGTTCTCAGGGTCATGCGGTCAGATAACCATCTGGTATATATGTGAAAAAAAAAGAAAAATCCACCTAGAAGACTCAGTAGTACGGAAGCAAAATGTATATTTCCAAAGGAAATTACGAAATATCCGCTGAGAAATTAAATAGCATTTTTTGTTTCTTTTCTTTTTTTTTTTTTTTTTTTTTTTTTTTAAATTCTCATCTTGGGATTTTTAAACATCAATATTAAAAAGGCTGTGCTACTCATTTTTATTATATATTCATAATTCATAAGTGTTTGCAATTTGCATGATCATCGATAGAAAATGAGACGCAGAGCATTTTTTTATTTTAATTTCATTCTTTTTTTTTCATTGGACAAAAAAAAAAATATCTTAACTAGTGGAAATTTTTCTTTTTATTTAAGAAGTTTTGACACACTTCTTCTATAAATATATAATATATAATACCTGACAAAGCATTTAGTTGAAAAAAAAAATTTTTTTCTCTCTCTTATTACATACGATACACTTAATAGTTGACGCCACAAAAATATTTGTATCGGGATTTATTCTATAGAAGCAAAATCCCAGATAAGAGTTGACAGAATTATCTATTTCTGTATTGATTATGTAAATGTTGCGGCAAAGTGGAAATTTTGAAATTTGACGATTAGAGGCGAGAATTTCAAACGATTTCAAGCTTCAGTTTACATTTATAAAGATTTATAACATTTTAGATATATAAAAAAAAAAATGAAACTGAAGCTAAAAATCAAGTGAAATTGACAAATAATTTTTATTTTTAAAAAGAAATCATGTATTTTTAATTCTGATGAAAAAAAATACTTTTTTCCCATTATTATTATTATTATTTATCGTTTATTCGAAGATAAATATTTTTAAGCTTTAATGTTCAATTTAAAAAATTGTTTAAATATTAATTTGTAGATTCTTCAAGAATTATAAGAGATTGTATTTTATTATTTTGAAATAATTGTTTAAAATAGAAGGTTGGAAAAAAAGATATAATTTCCAACTTTTTTTTTCATAATAATATAATGTAGATAATAAAAAAAAAGATGAAATCATTTTTATATTTATATAGCTGATAGTAAATTGTGATTGTTTTTGTTATTGATATATATATATACTATATTAAAAAATGAAAAAATAAACTTTTGTTTTAATAATAATTTTTAGGAATAGTTGATCTCATCATGAGAGTGAGATTAAAAAAAAAATTTATATATTTAACTTATCAAGCAATAATTGAACGTTTTTTAATTACAAATTATTGTGTATAAATTATAAATTGTATACAAATTATGTTAATTGTTTCTTAAAAACGTCCGCCATTTTATTGTTAATTTAATTTTCATATACATATATGGCCTCTAATAAATTTGTAAGAATTTTTTTTTTTAAAGACAACATTAGTCGAAACATGTAATATTATTAATTGCTAAATGTTTGGCGTAATATTGCAGGACAATTGAGGAAATATTGTACATAAAATATTTGTATTAAATATTAAATATTTATTAAATATTTTTATGGCACTATAAAAATTTTATGTGCAATATTTTCTCAAATTATTAATTTACACAATTACCCCAATATTCTAAATCTCGGATGGTAAATTGAGCTGTTTTGCAAATTTTGAATTTCTTTGTAAATACTTTTTAGAGGCGTATCTCAATTTTTTTTTAAAAGAAGAAGAATTTGATAAACAATCGAATCAAAAGTTAGTCCAACGATATTTTTTTTTAATATTTAAATAAAAAAAAATCTTAATCGTATGAGAAAAAAAAACAATTTGAACTTTCAATGCAAGTGTTAATATTTTTAACATTTTGAATTATTAAAAATTTGTACATTAATAAAAATTGGACAATTATATCTTACAGGAAACGATTTTGGTAACAATCTAAAAATTGACTATCGTTTCTTACCGTGACAAATTTTTAATTTTCATCCAAATGCAATTTTTAATTATTCAAAATGTTGAAAATAAAATTTCTCAAACTTTTACTGAAATATTTTGTAATTAGAAAAAAAATTTTTTTTTTTAAATGCCTAAGCAGAATGAAATTTTTAATCGTAAATCTCAAGCTTTTACATGGGAGAGAAAAGGACAAAAGATGTTTATATCCTTTTCTCTCTCATGCAAAAGCTTAAGATTTACGATTACAGATTTCATTCTGCTTAAGCCTTTTTTTAAAAAATGTGAAGTTGGACAAATTTTTGTTTTGACTCTACATCCGATTATTTCTAGGTTATAAACCATTAATAATATAAATGTATGTGCGATTATATATGTTAAGGTTAAATTGATATTTCAAATAAAGATAAATATATATATTTCCTTAATAATCATAGAATTTTTTTTATTAGTAAATTTAATTTAAAAATTTAAATTCTTATTGTGATTATAACGGAACGCTCTCTGTTGGAAATTTTTTGAACTATAGAAAGTAGGCTTTTTGTCCAGCTTTCACCAATCAGAGTATAGTAGCACTGAAAAAAAATTTAGTAAATTTTACCCAACTTTTCCGAACTAGCGAATATATCCTCTAGTCCAGAATAGTTGAGTAAAATTCACTGAATTCGTTTTACAGATCTACTTAAAATTGATTGAATTAAAAAAAAAATTTAGAACATTTAATAATTATACCCTCCCACTATGCAAATTTTTCATTTTAGAAAATCCGATTATAAAAATATTTAGAAATTAAATTTTATTATAAAAAAAATTTGGTTTTATAATGTAATAATATAAAAAAAGACGTGTCAGAATACATGAAATTTAAACACCGAGTAAAGTCCAAATTCCGTTTAATTTTTTTTTCCCAAGACAATAATGTCATAGTCATTTATTATTATTTGTGAAAAAAAAATCGCATTTGAATAAAAAGGCGGCAACTTGTCTCGTTTTCACAAATTTTAAAATTCTTGATTTAACAAAATTTCTTATCTGTCAATTACCCTTTCTTTCATCTTCTCACTTTTATTATCAACAATAATATTTCACTTTTCCTCATACAAAAGCAATTATTGAATTCACGTCATTTTCTTTCTTTTTTTTTTTTTGGTTTTTACACCTCCGAAACCTCGCTCTGATGTCACCTGTAGACTTCGGGCTCAGCCGAAGAGTTCCGATCGATCCTCGTAAACACTCGTGTATCTCGTGGTACACTTAATCAGGAACGTGTCACAATAAAAAAAAAGAACCACTCTGCATTATTGTCAATTGTCACAAATAAGAAGAATGAAAAATTGTCTATTTTTTCCATTCTAAATAGTGGGGAATTTTTAATTATTTAATTATCAATGTGACAAGTGAGAATTAATAATTAAAAAAAGAGGAAATTAAATATGAAGAAATTTAAAATTGCCCAGGGTTCCATTATAATTAATGTCAGTACTTTGCACTTCGTCTCGACGATGGTGCTATCGTTTTGTTCCGTCGTTGCGCTGGTGTTGTATCTGTATCTAGCAGACGACATGTTAGCTACAGGGAGCACCTCGTCTCGGACGTTTTTTTCCGTGAAGAGCTTCCTCGGGATTTCTTGAGTGAAGACCTCGATCGGTGAGGTGTGAACGGGGGGGTGTGAGAGAGTGAGAAAGAAAGAGAGAGAGAGAAAGAGTGAGAGAAGGTCATCTCTCGCGGGTGCGTACGGAAGAGTGAGAAGTGTACGCGTGTCCAGTGTGTTGTGTCATATAGTCTTCGCACCAAGGACCTCGGGGGCGGGGGGGATTGTGAGATCGTATCCGATCCGGACAAGCCCCCGACAACGAGAGGATCATCAAAAAAAAAAAAAAATTTGGATCCAAAGATCGAGGTACTTGTCTCCAAATAGAGACAATTGTCCACGTTGTACTCCGTCCCGGCCTGTCAACTTGACTGTTGTAAAGTCTCGGGACGAGCCACTTATCAATCAATTTTTTTTTTTTTTTTTTTATTCAACGTCCAGGGTAGTGGCTATTTTTGGGTAATAATAATAATTCCACGACAAAAATTAATGAAAAGAAGAGGAATTTAAAAAAAAGGGGGAAAAAAAATTTGTGACAGTGGGAGGCAGGAAAAGTGAGTCAGAAAAATAAATTTTGCGCGCGTGTGTGTGTGTGTGTGTGATTACTAATAGAGGCCGGTGAATCGTGATCAGCTGAGAGGTAGGAAGACGAGAACGAGGATCAGAGGGTATTATAGGGAGTGAGCAACCCCTATAACGATCGACCCTCGGCCTGCCTCGCGAGTGACGAATCAATCGACGAGGTGGGCAGGTGTCGGCTCTCTCCTCCTCTTGTGTGTGGTGTGGTCGCCCTCTTGGAAACGGAGCAAAAACGGAGGAACGAGGAGCTGGTGCGGCTGCTGCACGCGGCACGGTTTCGCCAAAGGGAGAGACGACAAGGAGTGATCGACGAGGTGAGGCCAAGAGAGGAGAGACGTGCTGCTTGTTCAGTGTAGTTATGTGAGCCGTGAGTGCCACATTGTGTGTGAGGGTGAATAAAGCCGGCGGGAAGGGGGGTCCTCCTCTTTCTCTCTCTCTCTAGCCTATACTACAAACCCTTATTTTAAGAGGTTAGGGTTACCTCGTAGAAAGAAAATTTTTTACCCTGCGAATTAAAAAAAAAAAAAAAAAAAAAAAAAAAAGCAGGGAAACAAATTCCCCTGTGTTTGTGTGACAGAGAGAGAGGGGGGAAAAGAAGAAAATATCAAAAATTACGGATTCGAAAGAGATAACAAGAAATACGGAACCGAAAAGAGGAATACAATTGAGAAAAACGGATAGAGGAGAGAAGGATAATAAAAAGTGTGATAAGAAGAGGAAAAAAACGGATGTGTTAAAGACTGGAGTGCAAGTGGGAAGGGGGAGTGTTTTTGTGAACGGTCGAGTTACGGGGGTTGATCATCGTGGTAAGTTGAGAGTGAAAAGGGGAAGTGTGAGGGAGAAAAAGATAGTAGAAGGTGATAGTGAAGTGGGTGGAAGTGGAGTGCGAGGGAAGAGGGGCAGAAGGAAGAGGCGAAGGGGCCGCGTTTCTCTCGTGTGTCATGGGGTGTTTCGGCAGCCAGAGCAGCAAGGCCAGCCAGGATGACAGCAAAAGCCAAAAGAGGCGCTCGGATGCGATTTCGAAGCAATTGCAGAAGGATAAGCAGGTGTACAGGGCGACACATCGGCTTTTGCTACTTGGTAAGTAGTTGATTGTCAATTTATTCTTGTTGGCAATCTTGATTTTTTTTTTTTTTGATCTTCCAATAATATTGAGGTTATATTACACAATAATGTTCAGATAATATTGATGTAATATTACACGGTAATGTTCAGATAATATTAATGAAATATTTACACTGTAATATTGAGGAAATATTGCACTTTAATATTGACATACATTAATACATTAACTTGAGATAATTTTTGTTTTTAATGAAAAAATCCATCCAAGGAGGAATCGAACTCCGAACTTAATAAACACACGAGTCGGAAGTCTTAACCAACAAACCAACCTGAAGTACAGGATATTTAGATATTTATTGCTAAACTAGTTAGTCAGATCCAATTTGCCATATTGACGTGGAAAATTGAAAGACCGTAACTTGTTTTTTTTATTTAGGTTATGTACAAAGCTGAAGTACGCAACGTTTATATAAACGATTTTTAAAGAAATAATTTTTTAAAATGAAAAATTTTATAATTTTTTGCCTAAAAAATATTTCTTGTAGTTTTCATTAATCAACAAATTATAAAAAAATATTTTTTAGGCAAAAAATTATAGAATTTTTCATTTTAAAAAATTATTTCTTTAAAAATCGTTTATATAAACGTTGCGTACTTCAGCTTCGTGGTTATGTTGCTCATTATTTTTCTTCTTTTACAAAAAAAGTAGAGATTGAAATTATAAAAAATTTGGTCTCAATTTGCTATAGTAATAATTATTTCTACCTTCTATGGATCAAATTTTTTTGTAATTTCAATCTCTACTTTTTTTTTTTATAAAAGAAGAAAAATAATGGGCAACTTAACCTAAATAAAAAAACAAATTACGGTCTTTCAATTTTGCACGTCAGTTGATGGCAGTAATAGAGCTATGTACTAATAAGGCCTAAGCAGAATGAAATCTCTAATCGTAAATCTTAAGCTTTTACATGAGAGAGAAAAGGATAGAAATATCTTTTGTCCTTTTCTCTCTCATGTAAAAGCTTAAAATTTACGATTAAAGATTTCATTCTGCGTTGGCATATAGTTATCACATAAGGGGCCGTTCATAAACTACGTTACCTATTTTAGGAAGGGAGGAGGTCTAAAAAGTGCATTTAACGCATCTCCCTGAAGTTGGTTTCGTCGCTCAGCGCCGAAAATTGTTTTTCACAGAATCAAAAAATTCAAATTATTTTTTTTTAATTTTTCAATCCAAATAATACCTTGAAAAATACTTTTCAAAGCATTGTGTGGACCCAAAACCTTTTTAAAAAATGTTTTAATATTTTTTAATCCATGAAAAATAATTTTCGACGCTCAGCGTCGACGCTAACTTCATGGAGGTTTTAACGCAATGGTAACGTGGGGCGGGAGGGGGTCTAAAAAGAATGATTTGTAAACTTAACCTGTAGACTTCAGCTGAGTCAAAGATGAGTTTTAATGTCTACTAAACAGCGAGCTTATATTTGAAGGTTATGGTAATCTTATTGTATATAACTTTACTGAAAGTTCACTGGATGCTTATAATTGTTAGTTCAGTGTGACATATGAGTAAGCTAACATTATGCTTAAATTATAATATATTAAGGAGTAATTATAAATATATTCAACAATTATAATAATTGTGTTTTGGGTTGGACAATAAATTTCACTTAGCTTTATATATAGGGTCTTTGAACTCATTTGACAAAATTCGTCATCTTTAAAAGAATTTTAAAAAAGGTAATACAATATATTTATTAGTCATCTTATCTTTCAGTACTAGTTTATACTCTAAACTTATTACCACAACCTTTGCATCCAGAAAAAAACTTTATTGGAAACAACTAAACTTTGGTTAAACCAATCATAATAAATGCATTGCTAAGCTAAAAAATGTATTCAAATAAACTAAGCTTAATATTAATTATCAATATTAATATAAACAACTTAATATTGTTTAAAATAATCGAATTACTGAAATGACTCAGTCCAGAAGTTTTATATTTCGGATGTTCTATTGTAAGGTAGATTGTATTTGTGACAAAAGAAACACTTATGATGCCATACCGTCGATTCCTGTTGTAATTCTTTGATTATGGTCGCATGGAAATATTCCCATGACTAATATTTATAAACAAACTTTTAAATAGAGTAGTTTTTAAGAGTTAAGTATCATGAAAAATGTCGCCAGAATTAGTTTTCAAGTTCCTATTATAAAGACGATACATTAATGTACAAAACTGTAAGTGTTTATAAATTAAGAGTTTGTTTATACACTTGAAAGATATATATTACCGTGAAAACCCGAATCGCCCAGTCAGAACTAGTTCTCATAAGGCTGTGTCCACAATATAGACTTCTTATGTTAATATAACAGAACATAACGAATGTAATAGGTTTTTTTTTACGTATTTTATTGTATTGTGTCTATTGTGGACACAGGTAAATGCCCTATTGTCAATATTAAAATAATTAACTACCAAATGTCAAATAAATCCCAGATTATTTTAATTTAAGTATTAAATGTCACGTAAATTCAGATTATTTTAATTTTTTCCTCTTCTTTGAATATTTGGGTGTAAGTACCTTGCATTTTATTTTCTAAAAAAATGATGGAGTTTTTGTGTCAATTAAGTGATCAAAGAATTATCAACATTTGGGCTTGAGTTAAAATTAGTATAGGTAAACGGGAAACCAAAGCACAGTCAAAGTCAAGGATCAGTAGAGCGAGCCAATCAGTATACGCTGAAACCATGCTTCCCTTTTGGATGCTGAATAATAATACAACGAAATGGTCCAATGAATTATTTATTATGTAAAAGAATAATAATAATGCCAATTAATCTTCCAAATTTTTATTTAATAATCTCAATTATTTTAGTTAATACTATAGCTAATTTTACACTAGATAATTCGAGTTCTAACTAGAAATGTTGTAAAAAATAAACTTAGGAACAAGTGTTATTTAAATAACATCAGCTTTTTTCCTAAAAATCTGTTTTATACCACAATATTGACAAAAGTATATTGTTAGAATTAGTTTTGACTATATAGGCAATACGAGTGTAAACAAATTTCGAGTTTTGACGGTAACAATACATTATCTTTGTAAGGTCTCCTAATTTATCTTGTAGGTATACTTTTTAATTAAATAAAAATATTCCATTCATATGAATCCAATAAACAGGAATGTGGCTCATAATACAGCACCATATTGAATATTCGAAATCTGTAACTTTTGGAAGAAGTAATTTTAGTAAATTAATAATTGATCTTAAAAAGTTTAAAAAATTTTGTCAACTTTTATACTCTCTATTTTTTTCGCTAGGAGAAAAAGGTTATAGTGAATCCAACAACACCCCTTTAGTACGACAACAAGTAGCACTAGCCATAATTCTGGCTAATCCAACCATATTGTATATTTGTGGTGGTTTTGTTACAGTCATACTGTTGGGTTGGGTTGTTTCCGTTTATCATATGGATGTACTTTACTTATGTGCCTGAAGTTTTGAACGTTTAAATGAACGAAAAATTTATTTACCACTGTTTTAACTTCAAATTTCTTTATAAAATATTGGTTTCTGTATTAAAAAATAAGTGAATAACTTGTTAAATTTTAAATGTATCGTTTCATTTTTATTGATGTAGTAAATTTAAAAAAATTTATAGACCAAAAAAATTATTTCGTTCATTTGAATGTTCAGAACTTCAGGCATATCTTTACTTTCGTTATGTGCTTAGTTGTACCAATAAAACAGTAACATAACTTTAATTTATATACCTGAATTTCTGAACTTTATTTCCTTCTGACCACTTAACATGAAAGGTTTTTCTAGCCTGTGTGGTATAAAAAAATGTTTCATTCATTTTAAAATTCAGAACTTTAGATACATAAATTAAAGTTATGTTACTGATTTATTGGTACAGCCAAGCGCATAACTAAAGTAACATCCGTACGACTAAAACAACCCAACGCAACAGTATATGACTAAGAAAACCACCACCAATACAATATGGTTGGATTAGCCAGAATTATTGCTGTATTCAAGAAAAATTTCTTTCAGTGAATACTGACCCTCTACTGTTGATTTAGTAACATATACTGTACGTTTAGTATGTATGTGACAAAATTCTATTAAATTACACTATTTGTTTTGTCAGTCCGAAACTAACAAATCTATTTAATAAATTCTACAGTTATGATAATAGAATCTACTATACCTTTCTCTCCGTATAGTTTGCGTTTAAAAATAGTAGAACACCTTCCATTTATATATACGTATTGATATAATTCAGTAATTTATATCCAAAGATCTATTAAACGCCTTGAATGCCCTCTTGCTTAGAGAGAGGTGAAAATAAGTTAATAGTTCATACGTATACTTAGTTGTTTGGGAGATTTTTTGCAAGGTGACCTTGTTCGATAGAGTAAACACTAGATCTGAACAGTTGAGTCGATCGCAGTTCCAGTGTAATTGATATCCATCATTGGCTCATCACTTGGAACCAATAATAAGTTACATGTACTAACATTACAACTCTCAGTGTATATTGAGCAAATACATGTTTAAATACTGTTCTTGATCCAGAAAATTCTACTACAGTAGACTTAATTAAATTGATTCATTATTTATTTTAATAAAATATTTTTAAGTTTCATTATAATACATTTTTTAGGGAAATAATTTTTTTCATTGATTTCTTATTGGCTGGCATTGATAAGCCAATCATAGATGTCTCAATCATTGCAAGATTTTTGTAAGCTAAGTCCATTAATTATTAACAATAATAAACCAAGAGAAAAATCATTGAGTTCTAATATATTGGCCCATTAATACGTCATTGGTATTTCATACATAATTTACCACAAGTCATATAATGCAAATATTAACTCAATCAAATTTTAATGAAACATGCATATATATATATATAACTGATTTTACATTAATTTTTTGTTTCAGGTGCGGGAGAGTCGGGAAAAAGCACAATCGTTAAACAGATGAGGATATTACACGTCAATGGCTTCAGTGAAGCGTATGTTACACATATATTTCATAATTTTTAAATAAATATTACCTTCATTATAGTACTATATTTTCCTTATTGAAAATTAATGTGCATATTCATTTAAACGTTCAAGGTTGTCCATATTTTGAAAATTTTTGAATTTCATTCATCCGTGCTAACATGCAATGAGAAATTTTTTTTAAACTGAACAAAATTTCTGGTTGGAATAACTAGAATTGTGGTTTGTTCAATCCGAATAAAATGTTGAATATACATATACCATTACTACTTTTTATGGTAGAAAATCTTTTTATTGGAAAGTCCATTAAAAATTTTTTTTGGTTATTTATTCACATACTGTATTCTAGTTGATCTTAGGAGAAATTAAGCAGAATTATTTAACTAGTACTATCTAATCTTTTTGTCGAATTCTGATGTTTTCTTTTTTAGAAATAAATTTTAAAGAAACACTTGAAGACGTTCTTTTTCAAAATTGTATTTTTCATTAACTTTATTTTAATGCAAATATAGAAAACTAATCGCAACTTTATTAGCTTTTCTTCTCATTTATTAACCCTTTCGTACCCCCAAGCTACGATAGGGTTTTATTATAAAATGTGGCCCAGAGGTTAAAAATGTCGCTGACACTACGAATCTGCAATGCAGATTTTCAAAATTCAATAAGACGGAAGAATTTTTAAAAATTAATCAGATTCGTTTGAAAATCTAATAATTGGATTGTTAAAATAAAACTAACAAATATGGTTTGCCGTGAAAACAATAATTTGTTTGTTTACTTAACAGTTTTACTGTTATCACAACAATTTCAAATTGTTAGACGAACAAAAAATGTGTTGTAACAACAAACGAGATTTGTTAGTTCTATATATTAACAATCCGCTTGTCAGTGTAAGAATCTTTTTTTTACATGTAATTACTTTGTTTTTAGATTTTCGAAATTCAAGATCTTTATTTAACAAATAATCAGATGTTTCTAAAATAAAATTTTTAAGACAGTCTTTGTGAAATTTACGCAATGCATTTTAAAATGTAGCATCAGATTCGTAATCATCGACTTCACCAATCCGTAAATAACAAGTTTCAAAAAATCCCATTGCTTTGAAAAAAAAATTGCCTACTACTTTAAGGGGACTTTCTGGTTTAGAATTGACAAAAAAGGAAGGTTTTAAAACTTTTATTGTAAGAACAGTATTAAAGAAATTGTAAAAACTATTTTTGGACATTGTAGCACATTGCGTAGAGAAAATTTAAAAAATATGTTTGAGTGTATTTAGTTCAATTTCATAGCTGTAGGTGGCGTCTTCCAAAAGATACCTTTTTTTGGTACGTTAGTTTGCGGGCAACCTGTAATACATAAATTCAAGTTCCAAACGGGAATCTCTTCATAAGGATTTATTCTGGGGCCTAAACCTCAAAAACAATTTTTTTTAAAGGTTTTTTTATTTTTTATGTACATTTTTCTCAAAAACTCACAAAAACGCCGTGTTTTTGGGTCAATTTACCTCCATATAAAAACACAGGGGGTAGAAATATGAGTTTTTAGAGGTTTAGGCCCCAGTTTTTTAAATAAAGAATCGAAAAATTTTTGGGATTTCAAAATCGGTTCGGTAGATTTCGAGAAAAGCTCTGTACCAGTTTGAAAAATGAGTTTTCGAGAAAAACGCGTTCAAAGTTTTTATAACATAGTTCATTGAGTCATGAATATCAAACAACTTTTTATTACAACAGAACTTCGTATCCCGCTGTTTTTAGGGTCGCTGATTACGAATTTGATGTCCGTTTTGGAAAATTCAAAATGGCGGATCCAATATGGCGGACGAAAAAATAAAAAATCAACCGAATTTGCTTAAAACTTGTTACTCGGGGGTTTTTGGGGTCGCTGATTACGAATTTGATGTCAGTTTTTGAAAATACAAAATGGCGGATCTAATATGGCGGACAAAAAAAATAAAAATTGAACCGAATTTGCTTAAAACTTGTTACTCGGGGGTTTTTGGGGTCGCTGATTATGAATTTGATGTCAGTTTTTGAAAATTCAAAATGGCGGATCCAATATGGCGGACTACAAAATAAAAAATTAACTTTTTTAATTAATTAAAACGTTCCTAGAACGTTAATGTTTTATGCCTATATTCATAACTAGCAATCTCAAAAGGCCACAAGTAACCATTTTCAACTAAATTTAATTCATTTCTTAATCTTTGTCCGCCATATTAGATCCGCCATTTTGTATTTTCAAAAACTGACATCAAATTCGTAATCAGCTACCCCAAAAACCCCCGAGTAACAAGTTTTAAGCAAATCCGCTTGAATTTTTATTTTTTCGTCCGCCATATTGGATCCGCCATTTTGTATTTTCAAAAACTGACATCAAATTCGTAATCAGCGACCCCAAAAACCCTCGAGTAACATGTTTCAAGCTAATATCAATAAAAGAGGAACACCAAATATGTAAATAAGATAACTGTAGATTGTTGTTGAAATACATACCGTCATAAATATTGTTATAACTTTTGTTTTTGTACATATTTTTTAAAAAACGTTTTGGGACAGTAATTCTATGATACTATGGAACATTTTTAAGCAAAAAAAAAAATCGATTTTTTTGAAATTCTAAACCAGAAAGTCCCCTTAAATTTATAAAATCCGACTGCAGATTCATCAAAATTAATGATTCCAAAAACCTCCAGATAACAAGTTTCAAAAAATCCAATTGATTTCTAAAAATTCGTCTGCTATTTTAAATTTCTGAAATCTGAATTAAGATTCGTAATCAACGACAACGAAATCTCTTTGCCACATGTTTTATGTAAATCTGTGAAATATTAAAAATTTTCCAATCATATTAGATCAGTGGCTTCGATAACCTCTGAGCCACATTTTTGTAAAAAAATCTTATTCTTTCCCGAGGGTACATAAGGGAGAGTAAATAAGAAGAAAAACTAATTGGTTATTTAACAAAATTTTTTGGTATAACGAATTTTCATTTTAAAAAATTTCTCTTTACCAATTTTTTATTTTAAAAAATCTACACGGAGAAAAATGAGATTGTTGTGCAAACAATTTTTGGATTGTTGTCAGTAGATTTGTTGATATTACAATTCGGATTGTTGTCAATACAAATGTATGTTGTTTTACAAATTTAATACAAATTTTTTGTTGTCAGTTTTGTTCAGTTTGCAATTCCGTACAGTTGCAGAAGCAAACTCTCTGTCGATTGCTGATGGAACAATCTGGATTTGTTCAGCTGACAGGTTTATTGTTCCATGTCACGTGGTCATCTTGAATTCTCGCAAATTGGCGTGCAGATCGTCGCGTCGTTTACTTCTGGCACATGTGCCACTTTTGCTTTTATTATTAGGTTTTTTTTAAATGACAAAGTACTGTTAAATAATGAATCCGGTTAAAGTGAAAAATCTATTGAAGAGAATTTGATTCAGAAGCTGCATGTTCCTCAGATTTTAATGCAAATGAAACTGGTGATATGACCTACGGAAATCTGCTATCGATTATTTTAGAAGGCAAAGAAATTAAACAAATTGTATTAGACGGATCAAAGCTTTGTTAATGCAACAAATTGTATTGCCGATTTAACAATTTAGTTTTGTTATTTCAACGGTTACATAACAATTTTCTTTGTTCATTAAACAATTCTGTTTGTTCACCGAACAATCCGAATAGTTTTAATAACAATTCTATTTTAACAATTTTTTTTGTCCCAAAAACAAATGGAACTCCTGGTTCTATATTGACAATCCGGAATTGTTGTTTGGACTTAATTTGTAGTAACCATAACAATTCTTTTTTCTTCGTGTAATTTAGAGGTTTGTTAATTTAGCAGAATTCTCATTCAACAGAATTTTACAGTGATTCGAATTTTTAAGGTACCAGAATTTCCAATTCGTTCAATGTTTATGTGTACAAATTGTTATTTGATTCAATTCTTAAAAAGCAGAATTTTCATTTGTCCGAAATTGTAAATATTGAATGATAATTCCGCTAAATTAATATTAGGTTGAATTAGAATTTTTTAAATGAAATTTGACAAAGAGAAATTCTGTTAAATAAAAAATTTGGTATACAAAAATTCGGTACCTAAAAATTTTGTTTTTTAAAAAATTGTTTTAAAAAATTATTCTGTCAAGTACTAAATCGAAAAATGAAAATTTTAGACTTTTCTAAAAAAAACACTAGAATTTGCCAAAAAACTGTGGGCTGTAGAATATTTTGTACAGTAATTTCCAGAGAATTTATGGATAAATTTTAAACTTGACTTATAATTTTCCTATTGCGTCAAATCTGGGGTCGACAATTCTTATTAAAAACAAAATTTTTTCTTCGATCGTACATTATCGTATCAATTTATTTCAATGCGTTTGAGAAAAAAATTCCTGAAATTTACACATTTCTTGACTTTCTATAAAGTAGGCGCCTCCCTTAATACAATTTTTGATTTGTTAAGTTTAAAATTCTCGCTAAATAGCTGATAATGTGTAAAACGAAAATTATGTTAAATAAAAATTCGGTATGCTGTATAAATGTTTGTCTAAATAGAAATTCGATAATTTATAATTCAACACACCAAAAATTTTATAAATTTAGTGTGAGGACTAATCATGCACTATAAAAAAAAGGGTTTTATTTTGACAACAAAACGTTTGGTTGTTATTTAAGTAACAAAAATTTTTCTGTTTCGACAACAAAATTTTGGTTGCCCCAACCAAACTTTAGTTGACACAACCAAAATTAGAAAAAAAGGATTTTTGTTGTCATCACTAAACTTTGGTTGGGGCAACCCAAAATTTTGTTGATGCAACAGAAAAATTTTCGTTACTTAAATATACCAACCAAATGTTTTGTCGTCAAAACCAAACACTTTTTAGAGTATGTCCTGTCCATCATTTTAATTAATTTCATTCAACACAAATATATTTAATGATTCGATACAATTCTCTACATTAGTTACCAGATTGAAAAAAAAAATTATTGCAGTTAAGAAAACCATAAATAAATTGTTTCTATATTGTTAATATATAAATGAATTAACTCTTTTAATCCCGTATATTTTTTGTCTTACATTTTTATCGATTGATGTTTTTCTTATAATATTAATTAATACATGATTGTCTTTTCAGTGAAAAACGACAAAAAATCGAGGATATCAAGAAAAACATCAGGGACGCAATCCTGGTAAGTTCACTCAGAATATGTATATACTGTTTTTTTTTAAATTACAGTCAATCGAGGTAACATTTTTTATAGTTTTTTTTTTATTATTTCCTTTTTTTTTTAGTAACAATATATATATATATATATATATATATATACATTTAAAATATAGATTTCTTATCGTCAAAATAAGAGTCAAAGCGTAATAAATAATAATTGTCGATAAATATTATTTATATTTTGTTTTTCAATAATAAAGCAAGTTACATATTAAAAATGAAAAGTCTTAGTTATATAGAAAACGATTATTATTTTAAAGGATATACATATAGTCAATGTAAAAGATGATGTGTACGGTACTGGCAGGTATCTAAAAATAGGATCACATTCTGGAGTAGACGGAACACATTGCTTACAAATGATCGTATTTGACGGTTGTAGGTAAACAGTTTTCTTGTCAAGTACATAAATTCAAGTAATCCGAGTTCATTTATTACTTAAGTTATAATTTTATTCACAATAGATTCGTTTTTACAGAAAATCATTTGAAAATTATGAAACTTATAAATATGAATTTATTTTTAATTTTATTTATATGGATATTATTAAATTTAGAATAACACAATTAATAGCAGCATATATATGTATATAGTGATGAGTGAGGAAACTGTTTGTGTTTTTTAATATGGTTAGTACTGTTTAAGTTTAGAAGAAAATTGTATATTAACTTCATATAATGTTGATTGTGCTTTTTTAAAAATAATTTTATTTAAGAGACTATGTTTCATTTATTTATTATAATTGTAATAATTTTCGAACATGATTTATAATAATGCAGTATATAATGTTTGTAATTATAATAAATCTGTATTAGACGAAGCAGAAGTACGCAACGTTTATGATAAATGATTTTTAAAGAAATAATTTTTTAAAAAATGAAAAATTCTATAATTCTTTGCCTAAAAAATATTTCTTGTAGTTTTCATTAATCAACAAATTATAAAAAAAAAATATTTTTTAGGCAAAAAATTTTAAAAATTTTTATTTTGAAAATTATTTCTTTAAAAATCGTTTATCATAAACGTTGCGTATTTCAGCTTCGTCTGTATTAGAAAATTACAATCGTCTATACTAAGATTTGTAAAGATTTTATTTATTCTTTTTTGCTTGGTGAATTAATTAATTAATAATTGTAATATTTCTTTAGATATTAAAAATCATTTTAAATAAACAGTTTGTGTACTATTTTGTACATATATATATATATATATGCAGATAAAAGGTTATAATTGGCATAATTGTTTGATTGCAGACGATAACAAGTGCTATGAGTACGTTAACGCCGCCTGTGACGTTGGAAGATCCTGCGAATCAGAGTAGAATGGAATATATCCTCGAAGTCTCGTCTTCCCCTGACTTCGATTATCCCTCGGTGAGTGTCTTTTTTTAAAAAATTTTTAATATTTTGCTTCCTCATGGAAGTGGCATTGAATTGGAGAAAATTTTCGATTGCTATTTTTTGACTTATGTTATTTGACCTCTAAAAAGTCTAAAGCTGATGTTTTTAAAAGATGTCCATATCTCCAACTTTTTATTGAATATAATTCTAATTTAACTGAATTTTAATTTAGCATAATTCTAATTCAAAAGAATTTTAAGTGATTCAAATTCACCAAATTTTTGTTTGTCTACAAATTGTTGTTTGATATTGAATTCTTAAAATTTTTATTTTTTTGAAATTGCAAATGGTCGAATAAACAATAGACAGAAAGATTTTGGCAAAATTTTAAAAAATTTATGAAATACGATTTTCTTGGTAATTTCTGATTGGTCAATTTTAAAAATAGTGCCGAAATCTGTTTGTAGATTTTTTTTATTAGGTCATTTGGAATTTCGGAGAAATGAAGATTTGTCGTTTTAAAAATTGTATTAAATAATATCAATTTGTACAAACGAAAATTCGATGAATTGGAATTTCTGACATATATTGAACATTTGAATCATTTAAAATTGAGTTGAATGAAAATGATGCTAAATTAAAATTCTTTTCAATAAAAAGTTGGATAAAGAGAAATTCTGTAAAATAAAAATTATCGGTACCTAAAAATTCTGTAAAGTAAATATTTGTTTAAAAATAATTGTCAAATAGTAATTCAAAAAATGAAAATTTTAATTAATGATTTTTATGTGGTAATCATACGCCTCGAAATAACCATTAATTTCCCATGGGAAAAACGCATTTTTTCGTTAATTTTTTATAAAGTGGTAAAAAATTACTGAAATCGCAGAAATGTAATTATTTTTTGTGATGAGTTCTTAAAATTGATTATGCATTAGGTTATTGTTTCTTAAATTATTTTTAAGAATTGGTCTTGTGCGTTTTATTGTTTTGAATAAGATTTTTTACGATTTTATATAAAATTTATAAAAATATAATAATTTAATGAAAATTAAAAATTAAATTAATTAAAAATTGAGCAATTGAATGAAAATGAAAATTTTGAATTTATTTTATATCCATTCATATTTATTCTTGCATATTTAGAAGTCTTGTATATATATTTTTTTTTCGGTATATAGGTATATACATCGTTAGTATTGAATTTGCGTTTACATATATATGTAGAGTATAATATTGTGTCAAGATTATTTGACATGATTGCAGTTTGATTTCGAGCATTAACAATAATATTTCAGAGTTAATAAAATCGTTTTTTGGATTTAAAATTTGAATTTAAATTGTAAGGTGTGGCAATCTTTTTGGAACTTAGAAAGGAATAAAATATATTGTACACAATTTTCAGATTAATAAATTCTGATGAGGAGATCTGTACCGATCTCGAAACGTCAAAGGATGTGTTTTATTCCTTACTAATTGTAAGTTCCAAAAAGATTGCCACACCTTAATTTAAATTTATAATTATTGGAACATTTAAACATTTTATTAAAATTTGAAGTTATTTGAATAATTTATTATTACAGATTTTAAAAAAATGTTGTAAGAGTTTCTTTTTGTTCCGGTCTTGAAGATTTGTTTTTTTTCAGTTACATAAAAGTTGTATTTTTCAGCTTCGAAATATATATATTTTTTTTAAATCAAAGTCCTCATTATTAATTTTTCAAAAATAATTTTGCAGCAGAAATTGGCACAAAAATAATTTTTTTGAAAAACGAAGTGGCGTTGCTAACTTTTTAGACGTTATTTATTCTTTTTACTTTAAACAACAACAATAAAGCAAAACTACAATATTTTTCTAATAAGATATATTGTATATATATATATATATATATATATATATATATATAAACTTGCCCTTTATTACTGCAGAGAAACACCATCGATCAGCAATTACCGCGCTACCAATTCAATTGAATGGGATTTCTAATTGAGATTTCAACCACTTACTGATGTCGCGGAAATCACGTACTGGTTGTTAAACTCATCAGGCAACCAGACATCTCTTGTTAATTCGTGTTACAACTCTGCATGGAATTTAATTCAAATTCATACACAAATCTCAATATAAGTAGTTCAATTCAGAATTTAATGCGAATCCATTAATAATTATTACTATAATTTAAGTGTCAAATCATTATTATTGCTTACTTACGTATATTCACACATTACATATTGTAGGAATAAATTGGTTTTAATTATTATACTCATATATATAGCCGAATATTTTAGTAAAAGACTCAGCAATTTTATTTTCAAACACTTTAAAAATAATTAAAAGTTAAATATTTATTGTTAGCCATGCGGATGACGAGATTTTCCAATTTTACACTTTTTGTCTTTGTTACAATCAAAAAAAAATTTATTTCAATTAAATAAATAGGTTACTTGACTATTATCTAATAAATATTTATTTGTATCGAATAATTATTATTCGGGTCAATTAAATGGGACGTATGATTATGTTCTAAAAATCATTAGTTAGAATTTTTATTTTATGGAATTTCATTTGTCATATAATTATTTTTGAGACGAATGTTTGTTTGTTCGAATTAGTATTTTACAGAATTTTCATCAAAACGATTTTCTATATTACAGAATTTTTATAATATAACCGAAAATTCACTTTACAGATTTTTTATTTGTTCGAATTTTTATTTGGCAGAATTTTTATTTACTCGAATTTTCATTTAACATATAGTAGGCATTTTAAAGAATTTTTATTGTCTAGAATTTCATTGCATAGACTATTTTTTTAGATGAATTTTCATTTTTTCGAATTATTATTTGATATAATTTCCATAGAAACGATTTTTCATACTACAGAATTTTTACTTAACAGAATTTCTAATTGATAGAATTTTCATTTGTCCAAAATTGCAAATGGCCGAACAAACAATCGACAAAAAGATTTTAGGGCATTTTTAAAAAAAAATCAATTAAAACTTATTCATAAAATTGTGATTGGTTAATTTTAAAAATCGCGCCGAATCGATTGTTGTTTCGGCCATTTGCAATTTCTAATGAAAATTCTATCAATTAGAAATTCTGTTAAATGATTTTTCGGTTAAGTAAAAATTCTGTAGTATGAAAAATCGGTTATATGGAAATTATATAAAATGATGATTCGAACAAATAAAAATTCGACTTAAAAATAATTATGACAAATGAAATTCCATAAAATGAAAATTCTAATTAATGATTTTTAGAACATAATCATGCATACCAATTAAATTGTATTTTTTTTTCAAATACAGAAATTATTGTTTCAAATATACAGTTTATTTGGTTCAAATAAAAATTATACTTAATTCATGTTAATATTTATTTAATAATATTGAAGTGAACAATTATTTAATACTATAGGTTTACAATGTAACCTGACAAAGAGACACATGAATAATGCCTCAAAATTAATTTGTTAGAATGTCATTAGACAGAATTTTCTATTAGTAGGTAGATTTTTTATTTGTACACGAAATATTTTTTGACCGAATTTCCCATTAATCTGATTTTCTGTATTACAGAATTTTTATATAACCGAAATTTCACTTGAAAAATTTCTATTTGATTGAATTTTTATTTATTCAAATTAACCTCAGTCAGAAATCGGAAAATTTTGATTGTTTAATATTAAAATTCGCGACCAAAAGCTTCTGACTGATGTTAATTCGAACAAATAAAATTTCTGACAAATTGAAATTCTGCGATGTATAAATATTGGGTTATATAAAAATTCTGTAATATAGAAAATAAGGATAAATTGAATTTCGGTCTTAAAAAAATTTCCATTTTTGCATGAATTTCTATTATTTCTAAATTAGAAATTTTACAAATTGGATCGAATAAATTTGCAAGAGGAAGTTTTTTTATCCATTTCCGGAATATATATATATATATATATGTCAAATGTTGAAATTATTTCATTAAAGAAATAGAATGATATATAATAAAAATAGAATTTGAGATTTCTACATTGTGACATATTATATATTTTTAGCATTCCAATACTATTAGTTGAGGGTAACAAATCCTATATTACTGAGCCCATGTGCTCGAATTTAGAGTTCTTTGGCCTTTAGGAAGAAAATATATATATATATATATATATGTATTTTGGAGAATTTGAAAATGTACGTGCAATTTGTATTTTAGTATCGTAGACTTTACGACCTGAAAATAGATTGTCAAACGTGTTCTCATTTCGCTGGAAGCGGCGCTTAATCCACGGTGACGCCTATAACGACACGTTTACTCAGTAATTAGCGGTTGGTTGACGAAATTTTGTTAATGTCCCCATATCGAGCATGATACCACCGCAAAAGTACAATTCCAATCTGTGTACAAAATTCTCATTTCAATCAAAAAAAATTCAATTAATCGAATTGATTTTTTTTTCAAAATTAATTTTTATTTCTTTTCTTATTATATCGCAAAGAAACAATTATATGCATAAAGCTTTATAAATAATATACAAAAAAAATAAAAATCTATTTATTTATTATATAGAAAAATTTATATAAAGACAATATGGAAATTAGGAGAAATTGGAAATAATGAAAAAAAATGAAAAAAATTCAAAAAAAATATTATTAATAATAAATTAAAAATTGTGGAAAATTTTATCTGATTCTTGAGTCATTTACATCAGTATATATAGGTATATTGATCACAAATGGCACATCGAGATAGCATTGACCAGCAAAGAATTTATTAATAACCATCGTTAGAAGCAATGTTTCTCTCCCACACAAACAGTAGTAACGTTTCAAAGACTTCCGCTGCTTAGCTACGAGAGATCCACCCGATTCGTCGATCTTAATTGCGGTGTAGGTTGATTAATAAAAAAAAAAAAAAAAAAAAAATGACTAAACCGGAAAACTTGTTGACATAATGAGAGAAATTAGAGGAGAAAAAACACATGCTGCGAAATAAATTGTCAAAAAAAAGCCTACAAGAATTCAATTTTGAGAATAAATTTTTGCTAGTTCATAATTTATTATTTTATTTATTTTATTTAATTACAATGTACGGGTTTAAAGAAGAAAAAAAAATTAAGAAAATGCCCTTTAGTGCAAAAGCACTTAATAGTATCTCAGAAAATTGGGAGATATTTAAACAAAATGTAACACTTTTATTGTAATGTCAAATTGGATTAAAATAAGTGTTGCATCTTATTTTTAATAATTCACAATTTTTAATATTTATGTAACTTTGATATTGATTTTCAATAAAATTATTCATGTTTCGGTTTTGATGTATAGAGTATTTTGTTGACAAGGTCTCAAATTGGAAAGACCTGCCAATCGATATTCATTGACCTGCTCTATCAGACCACAGTTCCTGTTTTAATTGCATCAATTAATTCATTCATCCACGAATTCAAATTGATCACTTTAAATCCACGCTATTTAGCACAACCCTGGAACATTACTCAAATTCCATTTGCATTTTTCATAATATTATTATATTTTTCCTTTTTACATACTATAAATATACTTGTATCAAAAATATTATTTGTTTGGATTAAAATATTATATTTTTGCGATTTAAATTTAAAGGTTAGTTTAGAATTGGGCGCATGTAAATTTTCACTGTAAATCCAATAGAACGTCCGAAATATGACATATCTTTATATTTTTGATAACTGCTTCACCCTGCTTTTCTCTATTTTAGTTCCTTGCTGTGTATCGAAAAAAAACTATACTAGTATTCCCTGCAAAGTGTTACAATTTGAATGTTCCACTGATAATTTTATATTCAATATTCAATAAGATGATTCTTAACGTAAAAAAAAATTTATTATTTTTCATAACGCAATCATAAAAATGGCGTTATTGGTCCCTCCGTAGGGAAACGTAAAATCGTCCTTTATTGTACGAAGTTACGAAAATACACTTTATATATCCAAATAAATATTTGTTCAAAATATTTCAGTGCGAATTTTAAAATTAACTCATCATCGGAAATTATCAAAAAAAAAAATTGAGGGTCGCCCGATCAAAGAACTGGTTATATATTTTTTTTTAAACAAAAATCAATGGCCCGTAAATTCGAATTAATAAAAAGTTGAATCTCATTTTTCTGTCATGTATTTTCACATATTCTTTATAAAAATAAATACTTGCAGAAAATTAAAATTGAAAATTTTTGTTCAGGGGCCAACAATTTTAATTTTGAAAAAGTTATAACCGATTCTTTAATCGAGACCCTCAATTGTGATTGGTCAATTGTTTTATTAGAGTAGTTGTAAAATTCGTGGAAATCAAAATTTGGATAAATAAAAATTCGTTGAAATGAAAATTTTGGTATTTTAAAAGACAAAATTGGATTCAGTAAAAATTTTCGGTTAAATGAAAATTTGGTTAAATTAGAATTATTTAAAATTAAAATAAATACAAAAATTCTATTAAATAAAAATTTAAAAAATAGAGAGAAACCGAGGGGGAATTTACTAGTTAAAAACGTGTACACTTGACTACCGGTATTACACCTCATATTACCCTTATTATTAAGTATTACACGTTATTACAGAGTATTACACATTATTACGGAGATATTACAGAGTTTTTTACGTTATTACAGCACCGTAATAACGCATTATTACACGGTATTTATTACACGTTATTACACAAGTATTACAGGAAGAGTGTACACTTGACTACCTGAGTAAATTCCCCCTCGAGAGAAACTATAAAATTTCTCGCAAATGAAAATTCGGCCAAAAGAAAATTGTATTTAAGGATTCTCCCTGGCAATATAAGGAAATGACACAGACTTATCAAATTTTGACAGTTTGTTTATTAGATTGATTTAGGAAGTTATGATTTTTTTTCAGAATTTTTTACAACGTAGTTTTTTAGAAAAAAAAAAAAATATATATGACCAATTTAACATGGGCTCTTATGGGAACGTGTATAAACCATAAGAAAAAAGTGTGATGGAAATGACACAATAATCTAAAAGTTGGTATACAGGAAGGAAATATGATAAATTTATTAACTGCACAATATAAAAGAAAGTTTACCACATAGTTTTTGAGTATAAATAAATAATAAAGTTTAATTTTTTGTCATAATAATAATAGTAAGTGTAGCAGACATGAAAACGTGGCAACGTCGCAACACGTGTTTGGCACGTTTGCGCAGCAACTCGCCGCGAATTTCAAATGCAAGTATACAAGTCGACAAATTGATATCTATATTCAGATATTTTTTTATATTATTTTTAGAAAATAATGGATTAAACTGCAATAAATATTGTATATGTTATGTTTAATTTGAAAGTTTATATAAATTTAATTCTGATTAATTATTGGCGATTCAAACAGCTACACTAGCGCCACAGTTGAACTAATTTAGGCGTGACTCGCTCTAAAGCAGTCTCTGTTTTGACAGTTTATTTCAAATTATTTAATTATTCTGATATTTTTATTGCGTTTGTAAAATTATTTTTAAGCGTTAAATAAAAAAAAATAATTTAAAACACATGGAGTGCTACAGAGCGAGTCACGCCTAAATTAGTTCAACTGTGGCGCTAGTGTAGCTGTTTGAATCGCCAATTGGAAAACAAAAAGAGTGATAAAAATACACGTACATAACCTCAAATTATAATTAAATATTTTTGTTAAAATAAAATATAGTTCAAACTACTACAATCACAGTTTTATTTAATTGGATATTTGTTTACTAATTATCATGCAAATTGAAATAAAGTATAATAAATAAACTATTTATATGCTTCACAGTTTTCCTAAAAGTATCAAATTGAGACCAAAAATTGCATCAAATCTTTGCAACGTTTTGATGCACATAAGTTATATCAAAAAGAGATCGTTTTGTGTATCATTTTTAGAAATGATACACGAAACGGTCTCATTTTTTGATGCAAAAAATTTAATCAATTTATATCAATCATGGCCGAATTGAATCGACTCAAAATTAAACGAATTTTTTTCAGATATTTTGGTAATAGTACAATTGCGGAGACCATTTCACTATTTAATTTGAAAATGAAAATAACAGAAAATCAAAGACAATGTGCAATTCGATAATTAAAAAGTGACAGCTTATAAACATAACCTAAAATGCATGAGAAAAAATTTGTCGATAAAATCAATATAGCCGAGCTTTTTAGAAGGTAGATGGCAGTTTTGCTTTTTATAAAAACGATTCAGAAAAAATTTAAAGAAAGAAAATAGATGAGTGCTGCCATCTACCTTCTAAAAAGCTCGGCTATATGTGACCTGGACAGTTAAAAGGGACCTTTTGTCAGAAAAAATTAATTTTTTATTGATTGGTGATTCTGATAGAAAAAAGTTTTCTCTATCAGAAACACCAATCAATAAAAAATCGATTTTTTCGGACAAAAGGTCCCTTTTAACTGTCCAGGTCACATATTGATTTTATCGACAAATTTTTTCTCATGCATTTTAGGTTATGTTTATAAGCTGTCACTTTTTAATTATCGAATTGCACATTGTCTTTGATTTTCTGTTATTTTCATTTTCAAATTAAATAGTGAAATGGTCTCCGCAATTGTACTATTACCAAAATATCTGAAAAAAATTCCTTTAATTTTGAGTCGATTCAATTCGGCCATGATTGATATAAATTGATTAAATTTTTTGCATCAAAAAATGAGACCGTTTCGTGTATCATTTCTAAAAATGATACACAAAACGATCTCTTTTTGATATAACTTATGTGCATCAAAACGTTGCAATAGAAAAAGATACAATCAAGTTTACTGTGTATTTTATAAGGTTAAATAAAATTCCATTTTATTTTCAAATTTTGAGGTGAACAACTTATATTACAAATTTCTTATAAGTAAATAATATTATTTTCATTTTAATTTTAAGTGTTTTATGGAAGTTCAACAATTAAATAATAACATATAACAAAAAATTTGAGGTTAATTGTCAGATCAGGTGTAGGGCCAATCTGTGTTACATACATATATACATACAAAGACCAGTCTTACTAACCTTAAATAAACTATGCGACGAGAATGCGACGTTGCCATGATTTCAAGCACTTTTTAAAAAATTTAATTAAATAGAATTTATAATATTTTAGTAACGAGGAAAGCTTATTATTAATTAATACACCTTTTTCTAAACAATTCTCCTATCAATAAGAACAAGAACCTTACTTATCATATAAAAATTTATTTTTTCTAAGGTTGCAAACTTGTGAGCCTTCACACGGGAAGAATAGAAACTATCCCCTTACTCCGCACCACCCCCTGGAGAATTCTTAATGAAAATCCTAATCAATTAATTTTGGGGCTTATTTGACGTGAAATTTTATGTGATCTTTTATTTAATATTTCTTTAATTATCAAGTTTAATTATCAAGTTTAATTTTAAAATTTTAATTTTTTTAATATTAAAATTTTAGAAATTTTTCCTATACAATTTTTACACGTGTAATTTTTTTTTGTATATAAACCTACAAACATAAATGATAAATAATTTCTGTTTATTTAAAACAAAAACATTACAAACGGAATCTTTTTCTTTGTTTACATAAATATAAACGTAATTATTTTAAATTACAGGTAAATAATCGATTTATATATAGTGGGACTTGTGCAATATTTCCTGTATATCATCATTTTACTGGTTAAACCACATTTTTCCTCCTCTCTTGCGCGCGTAATTTTCTTGTATTGTTATAACTTCTTACCGGTTTTTGTCTTATCTTATCAGAAACTAATATTGACTTGACCTTAGAATCTTGAACGATTTTTAAAACATTATCCTAATTTTAGATACTTTATAATATGAAGATAAGTCGACAGATAACTCTGTACAAACTTTTAGATCAAGGATCTAAAAAGGAAATTTTTTTTTATTTCTCATTTGTATTTTTAAAATAATTTTTATGTATATTTTAAATAGTTCATTAATTTTATTGTAATTGTATCTTTAATTTTTTTTTAGGAGTTTTATGAAATCGTTGAAAATCTTTGGAGGGACAAAGGTGTTCAACAAAGCTTCGAGAGGAGTAACGAGTATCAGCTCATTGACTGCGCCAAATAGTAAGTCACACAATATATTTTCTTTCAATTTTACTTTGAGAATAATTTGTTTATACATTTTTTATGATATTTTTAACTTACTTACTTTAACTTACATATTAATATAACTATATATTAATATGATTATAAAGAAACATGTGTAATTATTCCATATTTTTATGTTTTTTTTTCAATCTTGGTAAACGTAATCTTACATTTCATCAGATTTTAATTATATTTGTTTATTTCGAGATTGTATACACTGAAAAAAAAATTTATTTAATTCAAATAATCGGATACTTGACTATTATCAAATAAATATTTGAATTTAATGAAATAATTTTTATTCGAATTAAATAAACTCTATTTGAAGAACTAATTTTTGAATTTAAAACAAATAAAATTTAATTTACACAAATAATAATTATTGAATACAAATAAATATATTTATATGATAATAGCGAAATAACCGGTTATTTGAATCAAATAAATTATTTTTCAGTGTTTTCTTTTTTGATTATTTTTTTTTGAAAATTATTTGTGTAGAAAAATATTAATCATACCCCAAAAACTTTAGAGACACATGAGTATGTTCTATAAATCATTAGTTAAAATAGTATGAAAAATCGGTTCTATGGAAATTATATATCAATTAATAATTCGAACAAATGAAAATTCATCTGAAAGAAAATTCTTTGCAATGAAATTCTACCCAATAAAAATTCATTAAAATGCCTATTATGTTAAATGAAAATTCGAGTAAATAAAAATTTTGACAAATGAAAATTCTATCAATTAGAAATTCTGTTAAATGATTTTTCGGTTAAGTAAAAATTCTGTAGTATAGAAAATCGTTTTGATGAAAATTCTGCAAAATACTAATTCGAACAAATAAAAATTCGGCTAAAAAATAATTATGACAAATGAAAATTCTAACTAATAATTTTTAGAACATAATCATGCGTCCCTTTAATCTACTCAAATAATAATTATTGAATACGAATAAATATATTTATATAATATAAAGTCAAGTAACTGGTATTTAAAAGTTCCAATTACTTAAAATTCTTTTAAATTTAAATCCTGCTAAATTAATATTCGGTTAAATTAATATAAGTTTAAATTACAATTATTTAAATAAAAAATTTGGTAAAGAGAAATTTTATAAAATAAAAATCTTGTTTTTATGCTTTCTGAATGTTATATTTTTTTACCATGTTGGTATTTAAGTTACACTACCGTCTGAAATTGTGCGAACGCTTACACCGCGAGTCATTGAAAAACATACTCGCATAAAAATAGGGGTAACTCAGAAAGAAATAAACGTAGAGATTTTTTCCTTATAGTGTTGGAAAGCTTATTAAATTTCGAAAAAAGTGATGCCTATTAGAAAGAGATTGCTTAAATAGATTTCAATATAACATGTTACAAAGTTAAAAAAAAATAATTGTAATTTTTGCCTCATTTCCTACCTTGACTTTAATCTCTTGCATGGACCAGGAAAATCGAGGGAAAAAATTGTCCTTTAACATAATTATTCCTTGGAATCTAAGCTTTCCATTGATTCCAAGAACAATAAAAAATGTTAAAGGGTTTTACTGTAATTGAAAAAAAAGTGAGAGCGTGCACGGAAAAAAATTCGCCCGTCTATCGCTCGATTTTCTCGTCTCGCTGGCTCTTTCGTTCGTGCGCCAGGTCCGAAACTAAAGCTTTCGATCGGGCGCTTTCTCGGGCACTATTACACTGGAACCTTCAACCATTGCAGCGGGCGAGTCTTATGTGCAATGGATGGAGGTTACCCTTAACGTTAAGGTTATGTCAAAAAGTTGAAACACTCAGGGCCGTACATATTATATACTTATGTATGGGATATATGTTCGAATAAAAATTGAAATTAATTTAATTCTTTATAAAGTAGAAAAATATAAATATAATTACGTACATTTAAATTATAATAATGCTGTTTATAATATCGATAACTTCGATCGATTGTTTAAATTAGAAAAAAGGAAAAAGAAACTGGGTCTAAAAGAACACGTAATTGTGGCGTTACTGCTTTTTCTTGACTGACGCAATTTTTCCCCCTCTGACTTTTCTTGCCGCTGCCCACCAAGTTTTGGTAAACAACTGCAATGGTCGGAGGTTCCAGTGTAATTTCATTATTTATCATAAATATACAATTTAATTTTTTGGTGATGTTAAGATAAAATAATGTAATATTTGAAAATAAATTTATATGTTAGATTATTAACTGTAAAAATAATTACCGTAAAATGGGGTAAAGTCGGCGTTTGCGGGTAAAGTCGGCCGGCGCTTTAAACACTTAAATATTGTATTTCATTAATTAATTTACATTAATTCTAACTACATTTTTAATAAAACTCGGATTTCTTCTGGAAAAAAGTAATAGTTAAACTTTAAAATGATTTAAAGCGCCGGCCGACTTTACCCCCAAACGCCGACTTTACCTCATTTTACGGTAATTTGAAAAAGTAAAATTAATTTCTAATAAAACCCTTTAACATTTTTTATTGTTCTTGGAATCAATGGAAAGCTTAGATTCCAAGGAATAATTATGTTAAAGAACAATTTTTTCCCTCGATTTTCCTGGTCCATGCAAGAGATTAAAGTCAAGGTAGAAAATGAGGCAAAAATTACAATTATTTTTTTTAACTTTGTAACATGTTATATTGAAATCTATTTAAGCAATCTCTTTCTAATAGGCATCACTTTTTTCGAAATTTAATAAGCTTTCTAACACTATAAAGAAAAAGTCTCTACGTTTATTTCTTTCTGAGTTACCCCTATTTTTATGCGAGTATGTTTTTCAATGACTCACGGTGTAAGCGTTCGCATTACTTCGGACGGAAGTGTATGTACATTTTTTTTTAACTATATACATAGTTTTGCATTCTTTTTAATTAAACTTTTGCGTCATAGTGTTGTTCTCTATATATATTAAAACACCTATTATTTTATTTTTATTTTTATTATTGGAAAAGAATCGATTTTATATTTCTTCTTTTATTAGTATAATTATTATCGATCAACGATAAAAAAAAGTATAATTTGAGATCCATTTTTTTTTCTATTTTTAATGACAAACATTCCACTAGTTTATTTATATTTACTTTTTATATTAAAAATAAAAAAAAAAAGTTGGAGAAAAAAAATAATGAAAAATTCTTTTTTAACATTAACACACGTATATAAGATCGATTTGGTAGTGATGGAGACAATGTTTTAACGAGGTAATCACTTTAATAGAACCATTCGTTTATTCAAGAGCGCTTCTATAAGAGTTATAACCACGAACTTTTTAATGTTAACAATACTTTAGAAATCAACAAGAGTTTTTTTAGAATGTTGATTTTAATTTTTTATAAAATTTTCTTGATAAAAAAAAATGGTTTTTGAAATTTAAAGTATTTCCAAAAAGAAAAATGAATATATATTTTAAAGAAAGTAAAAAAAAAAGTTTATTATAAAAAAAAACTCAAATCATCACATAATATTAATATAAATATAATTTAGTTTAAGTTATTTATTTTATTTATTATTATTAAATTTGATATAAAAAAATTTTTTAAAAAAGTTAACATTACCAAAAAAATATATATATAAAGTTAACAATTAGTAATAATTTGACTATATTAGTTTATTTATTAATATATAATTTATTCGTACTCCGTTTTAGAATTGGAAAAATATTTTTTCTACACGCGAATAGTAAATGTTAAGATAGTCTATAGACAAATGTTTCAATTATTGTTGCTTTGTCTTTAACACAACTATTCATTGACTGATATTAAAAATTTATGTTGGCAAATATAGTGTAAAGAACTAAAATTTGTTGAAAAAGCTTTTATCTACATTGTTTTAAACAATTTTTACTTTCTTATTCTTTAAATTTGTATATAGGTTTTGACCTTGAAAATAAATAAAAAAATAAAATTGAAAATCAATTTTTTTAAAAAGAATTTGTAAATTTTTTTTATTTAGTTTCAAAATTAACGTACATTTTGTTTATTTCGTATAGATTATGTCAGTCTGGAGGTTAGGTTTATCGTAAAATTTATAAAAATAGGTTATAAACATCCAGTTTTGAGGTTAGATTTACTATTTGAGGTTAGGTTAGATATGAAATTTAAGGTCAGGCCTAAGTCTCTGGGCCCTGAGCCAAGGATTAAAATTTAAGATTAGTAGGCATAAAGCCAGATTTTTTAAACCGTTTCAATTTTGTATTTTAATTTCAATGAAATTGTCAAAAAAAAGAACAACATTTAATATTTAGTTTATAAAAACTAGAAAAATTTAACATAAATTCAATAAAATGTATATATATATAATATTATATTGTTAAAAATTGAATGAACTTTCTTTCAAAAAAAATTTGATGAAGAGGTTTTTGTAAAAATTGTAAAATAATAATGGATTCATATTGAGATTCTAATATATGTAGAGTGAATTGTAGATCTATTGTGGCAGTTGCATACGAGTTGAGAAAGGCGCGTAAATGCCAGATGTAAACAAAGGTTAATCCGTTTAGTCAACAATCGTCGCATGTGACTTCTGTTCGCGACTGTCAAAACGTCAAACACTTTAATTATGCTCACTTGTTTTATACTTAGAAGCACCATGCGTGCCCTCCATTCACAATTTTCCTTGTACCAATTGTCACAATCTAAAAGGTCATGTCTATTTTTCATTCAGAAAATTAATTTTCCAATATTATATTTCAAGTTATTATAGTGATGAAAAATTTCCATTTTTTTCATAATATTATTATCTATATTGGAAGGAAAAAAATTAGTTTCATATAATTTTAAATACCGTCAATTTCACTATAAAAAGAAAGGTATTAATTTAATACCGACTTCAGGTACTAAATTGTCATTTGGTTCTATTTTGTATCTAAAATCGGTACTGTTTTAGTACTTTCTTTTTACCAGTGTTAGAGTATAATTGTACCCACAATTAAGAGTTCTTCTGCAGAAATTCGGAATTCAACTTGATCCTTA